TTTATGAATCCGGTTGTATGGTTGACAACTTCATGAATATAGCCGAGATTTGATAATTGACTGTAACTACTCCACTCATCCGTATGTATTGTTGTTCCCGGCAGCACTAAACGTTGGATAATGGGCAACAATACATTCGCACTGCGATTAGGAATCGCTTCTATATATCCTTTGTGTAGGGTGGTGTCATATATGCCCAACACCCATTGTTGATTTGAAGTCATTCTCCCTCTATTATATTTCCTTTTTATTAACACAGTCTCATCCACATGAACAGTAACACCAACTCCGCCGAGTACTTGGGTCAATCTGTTCATTTTCCATGACACCACGTCTCTGCAGTATTGGTACCACTGTACTACAGAAACTTCTGACATTTCAGTCTCATATGCCGTTCCTGTTACTGGTCTTCTTATAACCCAGTTGTGACACATCATCGGTATCTTCGTTAGAGGTAAATGAGATTTCGAGAAAAATGTATCTAAGGAATCTATAAACTAAAAAATAACGACATACCCTCTCGGACCGATATTCTGCATCTGCACTCCCTGCAACGGTAAACATAACCGTCGATGCATCTCGTGTATCTTTGTATATGCATTACACCTCCGCACTGGCAAGTTTTCGATCTCGCTATCAGCCCGTTCTCTAAACAGTAATCAAAAACAAACTCTGGAGCGAATTTGCACCGCAAACGATGTACAGCATCCATTGTGAGTCAGCTGATTGCCCGCTCAAGGTCATTCATCAAGGTCATCCGTTCTCAAGGTTGTTTTGGGTTCCTAAAGTTTACAGTCACCCCTCAGTTAAAGAACCTTGTTAAGCCCATTTTTTTCCTTTACGTTCCCAGTGGAACATAGAGATTCAGGCTACTGGCTTGAAGTTTCTGTAGCAGTGTTTATTTTACAGGATGAGGTTGCTAGCCTCATGCCCAACCTTTCCTCTTTACCAGCATTATTTCTGGCTCAGCGAGGTAAAGGAGTGTGTCGGCCGGGGATCGAACCCCGGACCATGTGCGTTGTCGGCGAGCGTCCTAACCGCTATACCACCGACGCACGTTATGCCCATTAAACAAAATAATTTAGTTGGTCAAATATTATTGCAACAATTTTCAGATGACAGTGGTACGCAGGGGTCAATTAGACTAACAGAGCACTAACAGAGCAGCCGAATCTAAACTGGCTGACTCTATTAGGATAGGAAATCTGGTAAAAAGTTCAATTATAACACTAAATGCAGTTATACACAACCAAAAGATAGGGTGGGACAAAGTAAAAGTATTAAAGTCTAATATAACAGGCTGGAAGGAGGGAATGATAATAGAAGCTTTACTGAGAACACGTTCAATTCAATAGGAATGATTCAACACCTGTCCTAGACATCTAGAAGGTCCTCTTACCCTGAAGACAAGTGTGACAGAAGGAGGAGAACTATAAAAATCAAGTTTTGAAGTTGTGTAGTTACTAGTGATGTGGATACTGGGCGAAAAATTGCGTTCGAAATGTCATAAGGTAAATAATACTGTTCAACTGTATGTGATATATCCAATATGGTTGTCCAGTGGTTCTCTAACCAATGTCAGCTCATGATGAAATCCTGTTACCAATCAATCGAAACCCTACAAACCAATACTTGAACATTAATATGGAGTTACATACTATTGAAGCTTCATACATATACATATGTAGACAATTTCAGCTTGGACATAAGAATATATTCCCATAATTTCTAGAGGATAAAACGATCTGATTTCGGTAGTGGTGTAAGGCATGGTGACATTTAATTAACATGATTGTTGTAATGGAAAATAAAAACTATATTCCACATTGGAAGCATTTATTGTATATCAATGCGTCGATTTGAGAAAAACTTTAACAAGATAGCAGCCCTCCAGTACAGGCTATCAGGTGAGTCAAAGTCTGTTTTGTTGGAAGATTCTCAGAAAATATTCGATAGCACTAAACGGTTTTAGACCATCAGAAAATGACTTTAAAACTGCCTGTGCCCAGGAAACAGTTCACGATGTGCACAGATACGAATGACTATGACATGGGCGCAGTACTTAGAGTGAATGAATTGTCAACTATGCCAGTCGTGCTTTAGCTTTCATTGAGAGAGAAAGAATGTTTAGCAATTGTATGGGCAGTAAACAGATGGAGACCTTATTTACTCGGCCAACGGTTTCACATCGAAACTGATCACAAGCCACTACAGTTTCTGAGGACAGCGAGAGACCCACGTGGGAAACTGTCGCAGTTGATGCTGCACCTGTAAGAATATAACTTCGCGATCTCACACGTCCCTGGAGAAGAAAGTTTTTTGTCAGACTTTTTATCTAAACCAGAAGACGAAGCTGAGTTACCGGAGATTGTTTACGGAGTGTATGCATTGGAACGGGACCTATTATGACTTGCCCACGGTCAGGAATCAGACCCTACCCTGAATACAGTAATGCGGGTGATTAATAACGGAATAAAACTGAATCAACCTACGGAAAGTAAGGGTCTGGCTACGCTACTCAGACAGAAGGTTCGATTAAGAGTGACAGCCTACGGAACTCTAACCTGGCGAGAGAACGATGGAAGCTGGTTGGCGGTAACACGCTATGAGATGATACATATACAGAAGTATCCAGAACCACCGACCTCTTGAGATAAAGCATGTATCGGCCAGGTATGAGAGAAGATGTGACAAAATATGTACTTGGATTTCCGCAGTGCCAGTTGATGAAAAGAGGTTGGCGCATACGACTGCGTCGGCAGGAGATTCCGCTTGCGGCAGTAGGTGACTTGTGGTCCGCAGATGTGATAGGTCCGTTTCATCGGATGTCCAGTGGCAATCAGTTAGTCACGGTGATGACGGAACCCCCAACACGATGAGTAGACACCATCGCGATCCCTGATCAATGCGCGAGAATCGTGACTGATGCAGTAGTTCAACACATCATTGCAGATCATGGTGTACCAAAGACGATACTGACAGATCAGAGTCCCTGTTTTGAAAGTGAAGAATTCACATCCCATTTGCAACAGCTGGGGATTAAGAAGATCCGAACAACACTATATCATTCACAAACGAACGATCGTGCTTCCGCCCAGGAAACAACAAAGAAGTCACCATTTCAGTTGATGTATGGGAGGAAACCACGACTACCAATACACAACACAACCCGCCCCTCCATCAGCAGTGGAGTATGACGAGGCTGAGAACGGAATGGAAAGAAGCAATCAGGAATGTAAAGTATAAACAGAAGAAAGACGTATTGAAATCAGGACAGGGAGAAAAGATGCGATGTATAACCTTTGAGGTCGGCGATCAAATAAAGTGTAGAGTAAGAAAGTACGCGGTTAGATCTGAGCCAGGATCACGGAAAATCCCTCCCCCCAAATTGGGAAGGGCCACACACTATCACTGAGAGACTTGGTCCCGTTTATACCACCAAAAGAGGAAATAAGCAGAAACGGGTTGACATCACCCAACTTCAGAAATGAATTCAGTGGGATAAAGAATCCAGGACCAAATTACACCAGGCACGGGTAGAACCAAGAAGATCGGAGCGGCGCCGTTAGAAACTGTTCGATGGGGGACAAGTGTGGCGTGTTCTACTGATAAGATTTAACACTTGTGTATAAAGAGACTTTCATCGGCATAAAAATATCAAATAGCGGAGAGAGAGATTTGAAATCTAATAGAGCAAATGAACCTTAACACCACTAAGCGAGTGCTTCAACAATCTGGGAAAGACCAGTCGCCAATCCTCGACACTTCAAACTGCGTATATCAATTTGAGTGTGTTTGTGGAAGCAAATACATAGGTCGTACGGAAAGGAGATTGTCTACTCGCATGATGGAGCATTTGCCAAAATGGTTGAAAACAGCTGAGTTCAAAGTGCCAAAATCCTCAATAACAAAGCATCTTGTGGATTACGGGTATGATATCGACGCAGTCAAGTCATTCACCATTGTCAGCAGACAAAGAAACAAGAAGATGCTTGCAATTGCAGAGGCTTGTGCAATTCGAGTTTCCAAACCAGGTCTCTGTGTACAAAAGGAGATGGTCGTGACTCTGAATCTACCATGGTAATACGTTTTACTTATAATTCTACCTCTTATTATTATTTTATTATTACTATTATTATTCTCATTATTATTCTTGATTCATTTAAAACTATCCTTTATCAATAGCATTATCTTAACCCACTTCAACACTATTATTATTGTTATATTATATTATTGTTATTATAACTATTACTATTGACATCCCTCTGGTTGCAATTCTTGTTAAATTCTCTAATGTCTAATTGTTTATCTAAGTGATGTAATTGAAGCGTAATGCAGTTTATCTTAATTTTGATCTCCCATACTCTCTCTCCCCTTATCTAATTGCACATGACCTGGAAAAACATTCGCACCTGTCTGTCTGCATGACTAATTCAATGTAGTTTATTTACTTATCAGTCCTATATCTCCCAATGTAATTTCAAAAGTATATATATCCGTGTATGTAAAGTATTCAGTCCTATATCTCCCAATGTAACTTCAAAAGTATATATCCGTGTATGTAGAGTATTCAGCTGACGAGTTCTACCGAAATTTGATGAATTCATTAAATCCTGCTTTATTAACCTTTATTGCTTGTTTTAAATGAACCAACGTTGTGTCAAAACATGGGAGACACGAAAAGAAGACAAAGAAACACATCGAGAAGGCCAGAAGCAGCACTACATAGAAGATCTGTGCAAATGGTGGTTTTTAGATGAGGTGTACATAATTTCGCTATATAGAGATACCGAATTCCAAATGAACATTCCGTTACCAAGTCTCTTGCCTTCTAGCGTTACAAATGTACGCCTAACCAGTAATTAATTCACATCTATGCACGCGGTAACACAGAGGAAGATAAGGTGGACATTAAATAATTATAGAATAAGGATAACACCAGTAGTCAGGATTTTTTTTTAAAAGCTTCTTTATGAATATATCAAAGCACTACATATTTACTGATGATCACTTCTTATGCAGTTTTGTTTTTTTATATACATCTTGGAAATACTTTAAACAGTTTAGTGTCCGATAAGTTGTACAGATTTCTTTTTGAATTAACCTGATATCATCCGATTGTATTTCATGATACGATAAAATATCACTAATAGTTTGATTATCAGATGAATTATCTTGACTAGTTTCAATGTCATTTATTGACTGTAGTAAATAGTTTAAAAGCACATTGGTTGTCGATGTTAAATTGAGCGGACTGTGAAAACGTCCATTGGTTAAATTTGATAGCTTTTTTAGGAAGGATACTGCAATCCTGTGACAAAAGAAAAAACAAAAAAAGAATTGGTAAAATTGTGGTTTAAGGATAATAAGAGATAGTTTTATATTCCTGTATAATCCCCATCCAGGCATTAATGAAAACAAAACACGTAGATCAGCGAAGAGTCTCTTTTCGGCGAATTCATTTTCTTAGCTGTACAATCGCAAATATATATGTGTTATTTTGTATGTATGTGTACAATAAGTTTATCAAACAAAAATACAATTGGTTATAGTTATTTAAACTAAACAGGTGAAGATTGGTAATTGGAGTTACGTAATACAAAATCAGTCAAGAAAATTAGGTGTTAGTGAAATTAGGGTAGTAACAAAGGTGATGAGTTGTCACAAACAGTTGTTAAAAGAAGTTATGTAATAATATGAATAGTTTGATGAGTGAGTTTTACTCAGGATGCACATAGGAACAAAGTAGATAATACGAAATTACGTAAGAGTTCTAAATGAATACAAGAATTATAAGCAATTAAAGAACAGGCAAAGAAACAAAATTAAGTCATCAAAATAAAAAAAATCAAATCAAATCAAAAAAGTTGTTACCAAGACAGTAGAAGTGGTTGAGTAATCCTCTTTTGTATGCACAGCTCCGGTTTTTCTATGTGAATGGCCAGAGCTTCAGCGATACAAAGAAGGCGAAACCGTATTGCCTTTGATAGGTTGTTCTTGACTCTGTAGATTACTTTGAAGGAGGCGTTTGTTGAAATGGAATGATCAGTGTTAACCAGATGTTCAATTATCGCACTCCTTATTGCACCACTATTGCCTTTTCGCAACCATGCTGGATAGTGTTCTTGAATCCTCTTGGACAGGGTGCGCGTCGAACGACCGATGTACCTGGCTCCACAGCAGCAGGTGAACTGATATATGCACATAGAAGTGGTCAGATGCGGGATCTTGTCCTTGAGGCTTCTGCAGATCAGTGGGCGACTGGAGAACACTATTCTTAGCGTTGCTGCAAAGAATGTTCTTCTCAGAGATGATGTGATCCTTCTCTTGAGAATATCGCTTGCTAAATCTCCCTTGAAATCCAGGTTCATGTAGAGTTTCTTTTTTGGCGCAAGTAGAGTTTCGTTTCTCCGAATTCTTGGTTTGATATTTTTGTCGATGAATCTCATTGGGTATCCATTTTGGATGAAAATTTCTCTTAGAATATCTAATTCTGTTTCCAGAGCGTCGGGACTGCAGATGCGTCGGATGCGGGTGGCAAGTGATTTAATTAAATTTCGCTTTTGTTGAATGGGTACCCAGCTATAGAAGCTTGTTAGTTGACCATTCCAAGTAGGTTTTCTATGGATCGATCTTCTTAGGCTCCCATCAGTTCTTCTTGTTAGTTCCACATCAAGAAACGGAATTTTTGACTCGTTTTCCATTTCAAGAGTGAATTTTATTGCTGGATGGCAACAGTTAAATGTCTTCAGCAGTAGATTAGGGTCATTGTTGTTGTCACAAATAATGAATATGTCGTCTACGTATCTTTTATGCAGTCGCAAATTGTCAATGCTCGGCTTTAGTGGACCTTTCTCGAGGCTTGCGACAAAGCAATCTGATAGTAGTGGACCCAACGGAGATCCCATTGCAATACCATCATTTTGTCTGTAGATGGTGTCGTTGAATGTGAACTGGACGTTCAGAGTGTATCTCAATAGTAATTCCTTCAAATATGTTGTTGATATTCCAATATTGAGATGGTTGTCATCTATTTATTTGCATATGAAGCAGACAGTTTCCGTGAGTGGGACATTGGTGAAAAGTGACTCAATGTCGCAGGACAGCATAATTTTGTTAGATACATTCATGTCGATGAACTGCAGTCGATGCAGTCGATGAACTGGAAGGTGTTACGGAGCGAGTGCGTACATAATTGTTTCCTTACAGGTTCCAGAATATCTGCTAGCCATTTTGCAATAGAGTGGTAAGAGGAACCTGACATATCCAGAATTATACGAAGTGGGAAACCAACCTTGTGTACCATTGGTAGACCGTAACAACTGTTTGTGACAACTCATCACCTTCGTTACTACCCTAATTTCACTAACACCTAATTTTCTTGACTGATTTTGTATTACGTAACTCCAATTACCAATCTTCACCTGTTTAGTTTAAATAACTATAACCAATTGTATTTTTGTTTGATAAACTTATTGTACACATACATACAAAATAACACATATATATTTGCGATTGTACAGCTAAGAAAATGAATTCGCCGAAAATAGTTTTATATGTAGTAAAAGAAATGATGTATAATTTGACAAAGAGGTACGTGCTATTCAAGTATTGGTTTGTAGGGATTTGGTTGATTGGTTATAGGATTTCATCATAAGCTGACATTGGTTAGAGAACCATTGAAAAACCTGGGAGTACTGGACAGCTGTTTCGTCCTGGGTACGTAATGCCAAAACTAGGACGAAACAGCTGTCCAGTACTCCCAGGTTTTTCAATGGTTCTCTAACCAATGTCAGCTCATGATGAGATACGCGGTAACTTTATGGTTTGTTTTCATTTTCATCGAATGAGATACTAGATTTACGAAAGCTTATTACTGATACTCGGAAAAGAGATTTCTTGTTGGTAATGTTGATCTCATTTTTTCCAACAGTGCACTTGTCAAATATTTGTTAAGTTTCTCCCTTAGGTAATTTAAAATGAGAAGGTATGTATTTCATTTCTACCCCACATGAATTATGTGTAGATCTTGTTTTTCTCAAAATGCCAAAGTCAAGCCAACAAGTCAGTTTTCCCCTGTTGTTCACTGTTTAAATCTGCTAGAGTCATGTGTTCAGTAGCGCTAAATATACACCTAGTTTAGTCTAGTGTACTAACCGATAACAAACCCCGGAGAATAAAAGAAAGTTTGGCAGGAAACACTATATTGTTATTGTAACTTCAAAGCTCAAAGCTTGAAGGCCTGTTTTCCACTTGGAACGCGAAGAAATAAAATAAAATATGCGCGTAAAATGTTAAGTTTGGAAAACAAGTAGCTTGACAAAAAGGTACTAAACCAAACGAAGTAGTTGAGACGCGAATTACTCACGCCTCATCAGTACTTTTTCTTGAAGAGAGACTATGGCTGAATTATGACTAGTATGAGAGAAAGCTTAAGGTGATTGTCTCAAGCACTTCTTTTCGCTGCCCTGCACACGTTTAATTTATTTGTTTGTCAGTGTCTGTCAATTATTGTGTGGTAAAATGAAAAACCAAAGAATATTTCAGTATAGATTCTGTGGTGAACCAACATCACTTAGAGAACCCTTGAAAACTAGACAGAACTTAAACAGCTACCCCGTCCAAAGCCCTACAAAACCCATGCTGTAAATGTTAATCGCCAGTTCACTGGTTGCTATCGGATGGATGTTCTGAAGTTGTAATAATAAGTCGTAGTCAATGGGATATAACATGACAAAGTGAAACGGGTGCTGATGCATGACATTGAGTAGTGGTATAGCAAGAGAAGACAAGGGCCAGGCAACAGATCGTTTATTTACGAAATCAACAGATATTTATGGATTTTCATGTACATTATTATACATTATTGTAAACAAACAAACAAACACAGTCTTCTGATTGGTGGTTTCCCGCTGAACGTTAATCTTTCATCTCTTTGTGGCCGATTATTGAAGTTCACATTGTCTATCTGCAAATTCATGAAAAATTCCCATTCGAACATTAATAGACAGAAGACAAGTAGTTCACCGAAGAGTCTCTTTTCGGCGAATTCATTTTCATAGCTGTACAATCGCAAATATATATGGTTGTTTTGTATGTCTGTGTACATTAAATTCGTCAAACGAAAATACAATTAGTAAGTTCAGTAAGTTCAGTTCTTTGCATCGCAGAAGCCCTAGCCATTAAGCTAGAGGAACCAGAACTGTGCATACAAAAGAAAATTATTCCACCACTTCTACTCCCATGGTAACAACTCTGTTGATTTGACTTAACTTTTGTTTGTATGCTTATTTTTCTAACTACTTAAAACCCTTGTGTAATTCCGTATATTTTGTTTCCATGTACACCCTGAGTACAACTCTTTCATCAAACTATTCATCTTATTACGTAACCCCTATTTAACAATCGTTTGTGACAACTCATCACTTTTGTTACTACGCTACATCCAATTCATCTGAACTTACTAATTGTATTTTCGTTTGACAAATTTAATGTACACAGACATAGAAAACAACCATATATCTTTGCGATTGTACAGCTATGAAAATAAATTCGTCGAAAAGAGGCTCTTCGCTGAACTACTTGTCTTCTGTCTATCTGCAAATTGTATCCGCCTACGCAAAGTCTGCTGTGATTCCTTGTTGAGTCAGTCTTTTTTCTTATTTTTCTCGTGATCAATATTGGGGACGTAAACATTGACGTAAATTACTGTCTACCAATTTGGCTAACACCCAGCTCTCACCACAGTGGTACCGCCATATCATGAAGTAGGATTCACACGTTCCAGAGGTCGAATGGCCATGCAGCTGTTCTGGTAACTCAAAGCTCCAGGCTTCGATCCCTGGTCAGGTCATAGGGTGGTTTTTCAGTGTTCCTTGGTTTTCAGTGATTCTCTAACTGATTTCTTATCGTGAAGAAATCTACAATAAAATTTGTTCAAATTGCTACAGAATATTGTTCTCTAAGTTCTACTGGTACCACCATGCATAACTAATGACAACTGTTTTAGAGGGTGATCACACTATTCATATCTAATCCATGCCAAATGGCTTGGAATTAGGGCTTACTACGGCTTGTACTAAACGGTGGTGTTAGAATTTTCTTTTCCCAGCCATTGCTCTTCTACGCCTGATGGTTGACATTTTGCAGCAGCCTGCTGACGTGTCAGGCAAATCAATTAAGTGTAGTGAGTAAAGACGGAGAATTTACGCCTACTATTCCGAAAAGATTTATGTAAGCTGCATCAGATGAAATTAAAGTTACCGTACAGACATTGTAACATTTTAAAAAATATGTAAAAATTATTCTTACTCATCATTTGTATAAGAAATTGTATGTATTGGTGGGCCTTTGTGTAGTTGTATCAATTTTCGCTTCTTTGAGTGTTTCATTTTATTATTATTTTGACTTGAAGAAACCCTTGCCGACTTAGAAGCGTCAGTGTTTTCTCCATTGAATTTCCAGATTTTATCAATATTCCCAATCAATGAAGAACAACTCACATCTGGTTTACCGTCTGTAATTAGGTACAATCCTTTAGTCATTTTATTATTATTATTATTTAGATTTGTACCGTCATAATCACTGGAAGTTTTCATCTGGTCCGACAGCACTGTATTTTTCAAATAATTTAAACCACGTAGAATTGCTTCACCTGTACACGTTCCGCCGAGAGCTTTCAACTGTTCAATCCATGCCACTGCATCATGACAGTTCATTTCACTGGCGATCACTAGACCTGAATCTTGCCATTCAGTCAACAAACTATTGAAAGCGATTAAATTGAAGTGAACCTTATTCCTGTAATGAAAATATGATGTCATTAATTAAACTTTTAATCTTTTTTTATCACGATAAAATGTAAACTGTCACTGGCTTAATCTTACACTAGCTATAGTCTAACCATTCACTGCCCAAATATTCGTTTCAACCTGTTATCTATGATTCTACAATGTTTTTACTGATAGTTTTACTTGAAATTGCACAACTAAGACGCTTAGTAATCTGTGTTACAAGAATATGATAATGACTACCCTTATTTTAAATCCCCGCATATTTTTTTTATCAATAACGAGATTTAAGAGACATTCACTGATATCACAGTAGAAATATCACGTAATTATGTCCCTGGATAAACCTGAATAGCGATGCAATAAGAAAAGATTTTACAGACGCAATCACATACACCAGAGAATCAGTGTCAATACAAGTGGATACAATGATAAAGAAGTCTGTGGAAACAAATCCACTAAAACAGACAGATGTTTGTTTCATCCATAGAGAATTTGTGTTGTAAACGCTTTGTCTAGAAGAACAACAGAGACTTCACACTTAGACCATGCAGCTCAGAGAATACAGCAAAAACCAAAAAATAATCCATCTGAGGTACACTATCTCAATATGTATTGTCTGGAAATATTACTTCCGTATAGCATTGGGTCCGATTCCCTGTTGACACCCCCCCCCAAAACTGCCATCTCGTAGCAAGATGGAAAAAGAGGTGGGGAATTATGTGTCAGACTAGCAACTCCACCACATAAGAGAAGCAACGTCAACACTACCGAAACTTCAAAGCTTGAAAAGGAATGATTGAGAAAAAGCCAGTTAATAGTACAACAATCGTACAACTATCAGTATAAGGCAGCCTGCTTAAATCACTAGCCTGCCTAAATTTCCATCTAAAATAATGCATCAGATTTTCTGCATTTCTTATCGTTTTAATCATTTAGTAGTTATGTCCTCGGGTTGTGAAATGGACTCACGCGTATTTTTACATAGCTCTTCAACCTAATGTTGTGTAATTCTCGAGGAAGATGAGAGAAGATCATCATAAGGGATTAAAGAGCAGTTTGTGGTACAATATACTCTTGATTACCATTTTATCTGAAGATCCTCGATGAAGATTAAAATTATGCAATAAAATATGATGAGAATTTCGTACTGAGTATAAACATTTATTGAAGATCAAACTATCATTATTGTTCCCTTGGGTTCCTAGTGGAACATAGGGCTTCAACTACACGCCTCCACTTGTTTCTGTCTTCTGCCGTACTTTTCACTTGCATCCATTTTAGTCCATACTGTTTCCACTCCTCTTCACACGATCTCCTTTATGTCACCCTTGGACGTCCCACTCGCCGCTTCCCTTTCGGGTTCCACTCGAGCGTTGGCCTGACGCGCGATGTCACCCAACGGTCTCCTCAGCGAGTGCCCAATCCATCTCCACTTTCTCCTGCATATTTGTTGGGCGATTGGTTCTTGTTTTGTTTGTTCCCATAGTTTCTTGTTGGTGATTCTGTCCGGCCATCTGATCTTCAGTATAGAACAAAGACAGTTGTTGATAAAGGTCTGCAACAGGCTGTTGGAAATATCCTTTGCGACCCGCCAAGTTTCTGATCCGTGTAGAAGAACTGACTGACTTGACGTTTGTATTGAAAATCCGAATTTTGTTGTTGATGTTGAGTGACGAAGATTTCCAGTTTGGTTTCAGGTTGATGAATGTGTTTCTCGCCTCCCCGATTCTCGATTTGACATCCTCGTCCGTTTCTCCTGTAGTTGAGACAATGCTCCTTAGATAAATGAATGAAGTAACCTCTTTCAAATCCCTCCCGTTGATGGTGATTGGCGCTGGATGTTGCTGTTGTTGTTGTTGGTTGGTTGGTTATTTTCATAACCTCCGTCTTGTCTATGTTCACCTGGAGTCCTGTCTTTGCTGCTTCTTCGACCAGTTTGTCGGTTTTCGCTTGTAAGTCTTCGATTTTGTGTGACATCAAACATAAGTCATCCGCGAAATCCAGGTCTTCTAGGTTCTTCACGTCGGTCCAGGATATCCCTGTCTTCTCGTTTCCCACTGTCTGACGCATAATCCAGTCCACCACAATTAGGAATATCATTGGTGATAATAAGCACCCTTGTCTGACTCGTGTTTTTACTCCAAACGCCTCGCTGAGTTTTGCGTTGTGGATCACTTGACATGTGCCGTTGTCGTACAGCTGTTGAATAAGGTTGATGAATATTTGGGGTACGCCGTAGTACTTGAGTAGTTTCCAAATTGCTTCGCGGTCAACGCTTTTGAAGGCCTTCTCAAAGTCTATAAAGTTGAGGTGGAGGTTTGATCGCCTTGTTCGATGATGATGCGTAGAGTTGCAATTTGGTCAGAACATGATTTGCCTTTCCTGAATCCAGCTTGTTCTGGTCGGAGTTCTGTATCCAGTGCGTCCTTTATTCTCTCCAGGATGATGCGACTCAGGATTTTACTTGGCATCTGAAGATCAAATGGTCAGTATGAATTAGTAACAAGAAACTCTGGCTGGGAACAAACCAACAAGCAAGAGCCGATCGCACAAAAAATTTGCAGGAGAATATGCAGATGGGTCAGGCATACATTGAGGAGGCCGTCGAATGATATCGTGCTCAATGCAGGCCATCGCTCGAGTGAAATCCAAGTGGGAAGCGACGAGTGGGTCGTCGGTGCTACAGCCACATGGAGGAGATCGTGTGTGGAAGAGATGAGAGAGTTTGGACAGTCGTAGACCCAGCTGAAGAGGATGGCAGAAAATAGCATGAAATGGAGATGTGCTGTTGAAGCCCTATGTTCCACTCCGAGCACAAGAGAACAATAATAATATAAACACTTATCACTATTATCGTAGGATGAATGTGACTTGTGAATTATTTTTTCATAAGCTAGACTTGCTACTTTTTATATTTTTCCGGTGCTCTGAAGTTCTTTATCGACTGAATACATATTTTCCCGGGTATAGTAGGCAGTCCCACACCTAAGACCAGCTAGTAAACTAGACGTGGATCCAGCCAAAAAACAACTACAGAGGACAGAATGAAATACATATTTGTTGCCGAAGCCCTATGTTCCAATGGGAACCAAAGGGAATAATAATAATAATTAGGATAATGGGCTTGTTATTGACAGTCTACTGAAATATCATTGTTAGTAGTTAGTTTTTTTCAGCTTCATTAGTAAGTGGGGTAAATTCGACAAAAACTTATGGCTGGTAAGCTATACATATTACAGTTTATTTGTAATGTACAAGAGGTTATTCACAACTAAAAACAAACATTGCTTATTTTTTAGCTAATTAGTTTATGTTGGCTTATCGTCTTTCATTATGAATGTAGCCATCTTGCATTTCGTCGGATACATACATACGCTCTTGAAATATGACTGATATATAAAATTGTATGTCCCACAAAAGGAAATACTTAAAAAAGAACTGAATACTCCAGGAGTGGACAGATTCCTGATTCGCAAAACCTCAAAATGTTTTACTCAACACTATTCCTAATGCCTGTGATTAACCTTGTCATTCTCAGGTGAGTGATCTGCAAGACTTGAAGATCATACAACAGACGTATAGAGAATAATTTTAACGACTTACTTGTGTAGTTGTTCCCAGATTAGAATTTTCAGTTGGGTTTTTATCTCATTCATATGAATATCCATTGAACCGGAGGTATCAATTAAAATGACGATGCATTCTTCACGTATCACACCAAAATATTTTCTAGAGCCTGTTATTAACCACTTGTAACGTTGAATGTAACGTTTCAATGCTTTTATTACCTAAAAATTAAATTTTCACCAGTTTGAGGACAGTCGTGTAAAAGATTAGTTGTAAATGCAAGTAATTTATTCCTTATTTAATTCCTTTTGCGTTCCAAGTGGAACATAGGGCTTCAAGCTTCAGTTTTGAAGCTTAAGTAGCAGTGATGTTTGCACGGGATGGGGTTGCTAGCCACACGCCTAACCTTCCCATTTTATCAGGGTTACAACCTGCCAAGGAAGGTAGAAAGGTGTGTGTGCCGGCCGGGAGTCGAACCCCGGACCACAAACATAGTTGGCGAGCATTATACCGTCAAACCACCGATGCGCATGCAGTGCATAGGTAAGCCCAATAGAGTCCATCTTGCACACAAGACTAGCCAGAGGCTTTATTATAGGCAAGAGTAGCATGCATAGCGACGCTATAGTGACTTAGGCGCATTGATATAGTAAATGTAAATACTCAGAATGATTGATCTAGACACACTAACTTGATATCAGCGCTAAAAACTTTGAATCTTGTTGGCTTGTCCTAAGCGGTGTATATCTCCACACTAATTCCAGAGTCCTGCTTTTCCTATTTTGACAGGCTTGTACATCCTTATCCATGATTTTACTTTAAGCAGATAGTATCTAAACTGTACTGACTTCTTAACCTCCTTGATGACAATTTTCCCAAAATAAGATAAACGTAAAACGATTATGTGCATCGGTGGCAGAGCGGTTAGGACGCTCACCGACCTTGCACATGGTCCGGGGTTCGATTGCCGGCCGACGCACTCCATTACCTCACTAAGCCAGAAATGAAGCTGGGAAAGAGGAAAGCTTGGACATGAGGCTGACAACTTCATCCTGTAAAAATAAACACTGCTACAGAAACTTCAAGCCACTAGCTTGAAGCCTTATGTTCCCCAGGGAATGTGAAGGAATTAATAATAAATAATAATGAAAATAAACAATGATGTGTACAACTACAAAGTTAGGCACACTTTGGCTTAAGTGAAAACAACGCTACTAAGTAAATCAGAGAGCAACATTTTAATCAGCTCTCATAGTTTCTTAGCTGACCAGTAAGCAGAATAATGCAGTTTTTGTTCAGTAAGAGTACAAACTATATCGGTGAAAGTATAAGTAGGATTTATGCTTAGGTTTTCGTAACTTAATCAGATGTTAGAAATAATCCTAAAGTAATTGTTGACTACTCTTTCAGGTACGTAGTCACTTATCCGATCTAAACGAAACCACATTCATTCTTTGTTCCAAAGTAGTCGATCGCTGTTAAGAAGGCCAGACTTCCTAAGAGAAAGATAGCTTCATGTTCTGTGATGCTTACTACAACTGATTCCATTTCTATGTTTATTCATTCGAAAATTTCCTTCATACTACCTATATCTGTTAATACACTGACTTGGTTACATAATAGTGTATTATTGTTTTCTCGATAAGGGGCAGTTATCTGTTAGAAAGTTCTATGCCACCGTAGGAAGCAAATGCAAACCTTACATTAGATATCCATTCTGTCGCATAAAGTGTATGTAGCACGTCATCTAGCTCACTGAATAAACAATAAAGGTATGATATGAAGTGATACACTATATTCCCTACTTTGTAAGTTGTATCATCTCAGCAAATAGAAGTAAGGGGAATTCAGTTTCCGAATTAAATTTCTTAGTAAAATAGCAAAGCAGATTTTGTCCCTAGGCGAAGTTAGTTGGAGAACAAGTGAAAACCGTAGAACACTGGTCAGCTATTTCATCCTTGTTGAGAACTCACAATACATCAATACAACAGATGTTTTTGTTATGAGAAGAGCACGCTTACGATTAAGCCGTCGGATAGGAATTCAACAGCTAATTAATTCCAACGTCGACAACCATCATTCGAAGTTATCGGTGAGTAACTATGCACACACTAGACTTGATAGGTCCTAGTGGTGACAACTTTTAGCTAGAACTCCAGGAAATCAATATTGAAACTAATCGCCAATGAGAATTGGGGCTAATATTATGAAGCAGGTTATATGAAGCATTAAATGACTTCTTGGTACACATCAGATGGTGATATTCAAGTAAGTTTAGTACTTTAAGAAAATCTTTAGTGGGTATCCAGAACCAACAGATCAATGCGAAACCTTACACTGAAATGGACCAGTTCAAGTCGCCACAATCAGGTAAGCAAAATAAGGAGGAAACAAACAGAAATGTCATAACATTATAGTTGACAAAAAAGGGAGTTTTCAGAAGAAACAATTTTAGAAATCTTGAAAAGGACCAAGGCTGAATAAAGTAGTGAGTATACTGATGATAGATTCTGTAACAGATCACACTAATAGTTTCCAAACACTAAATTTAAACTAGCAGTTTTCTCATACTACTTATTATCAACAGGTACTTTTGAGATTATAAGTAGTATGAAGAGAATGATAACGTTCTCGTGATAATTTTTAAACTCCATAGCTAGCAGTAAGATCGAAGCATCCGTACTAGGAGCCAGAAGGTCAACAGAGACCGGGTATTTCGGTCTGGCATGATCAATCAGTCAATCAACGGGGAATATTAAACTGATTTCAAAAAATAATTCCTAAGTCTTGTCTTTTTCCAACAAAAGTGTGTTTATTAACAAGAAGGGTTGAAAGAAAGTCAGGTTAAGACTGTTTTATTGTTCTTTTATGCCAGAACATAATATTAAAAACACTGAAATAACCTTCTTAAACTATTGGGTAAGTAAAGTTACATTAGGAGATAGGGGAGAAAAACTTTTCAGTCCTTAAAACTGAAAGCGCTCTGATCTTAGAAGCTAATTAGGATTTCAGCCTAGAAGTGTATGTTTTTACTATGCTGAGAAAACAGGTCAAATAAGTTGTCAACTTTCCCTACTTAACAACACCGTGCTAACCAGGCGTCAGCGGAAACAGATTAAATGCCAGGGTAGTTACTGTTTACTTCCTAAGTGTTTGCCTTTGTCTTGACCTTATGTATTTTATACTTCCTTATAAGTTATCTAGTGAAAACAACCATAATTCAAAGGAAATTATCATAAAGAATAAAAATTTAGACTATATTATCACAAGAATAACCATTTTTGTTTGCCAGTTAGACTATGGTGTGCCTTTTCCTATTTGCTTGACGATATCTTGAAGTAGAAATCAAGATGTATATTTCATCTCATTCAAGATTTATCATCTTGAAGTAACTGTATCACTGTGGGTAAATGGTGTTCTAACTGGGACTGAAATTAAGCGTCTATCGTTCTAAAGACCAAAAGACTATCTGCCAAGCTACTAAGCCCATATTCAAACAAGTAACATCAAGTTCAAGCATTTGATAATATTAAGGCTTTCAATCAGTTCAGTCAGATAATCAAAAGTGGGATCAATCAACTCGAACTATAAATATCAACGTGAACAGATCATGTTAATTTACTTGCTGTATATAATAAGTGAGATAGTGAGTGAATTCATTTACATTTGTTCAAGACAAAACTATTTTTTGTATTGGCCAACTTGATTTTCAAATGAAGACATACTAGAAATTCGCCTGATTCACGTCTGCGTGTTGGCGAATTTCGCTTTTGGTTATTAGACTCTGCTTTTTTTCCACATTCCTTTCAGAATGAAATACTATTCCTTTCGTTCTCTGAGTAAGATATGAGCCTTCTTCAAGTTTCTCAAATGCTATTTTCAAAGTTAACCTTGACTGAATGAGTCAACTGTCTTATTTTTGAATAAACCAAGAACAACAGTGGTTTGTGCAGAATAATATGGTACCATCATTTATTTCGTAGGCTTCTCATCAGCTGCTGCTTACAACCTAAATAAATTATTAAGTTTATGTGCAGAAAAGTTTTAACATATTTCCAAATTTTACATGTTGTCAGTTGACAAGAGGTTCTGTCTGAACTTGGTGAATAGAGCTCAGAAAATTGCGCTTATATAGTTTTTGCAGAGGGAGTTCAAGTTTAAACAAAGTAAATGTATGCATACATTAGTAAATGAGTTACGTAATAAAGATGAGAGATGCGTAACTGATAACTGCTTCTTTCTGAACACATAAATCGGGTTTCGGGCGTTTGATAGAGATTTCTTTGGCAAACTTTAGGAGAATCGAGTTCACGTGTCTTTTGATAATTTTAAAGGATTTCGCTATCTCCAACCCATGACCCGTATCAAGGAGATGCTTGGTAATAGTACTACTGTAAGCGTTTCTTCCCGTGAGATGTAGGCTGTTCGGTACATGTTCAGTAAACCCGAGTTGTCCCTTCTTCCTGTTCTCCCATGGTAAATTCTCCCTTAGATACACATAAATTTGCATACACAGTTGGAGTTAACATGAGAAGGGCATCTGTCGACTTTTGACTGCACCAAAGAGCATGTTATCCGATAGACGGGAACCAACTTAGCTGCGGGATAGACTTTGGCTAGTGACATCCTCAGTCTTCTGTCGACCACTGCTGCAATATTTTCACCTTTGAAATCAAGTTGAATGAAGACAGGCTTTTTTCCCTGTGTGATTTATTTGGCATTTCAGCCTTCACATCTTCCATACTAACCGTTGTTTTTCAACATCTTTTCGAGAATCATAAATTCTTCCTCTCATTTCTCTGCAGAGCGTATTCTCCTAGCTCTATCGTATAAGGTGTTGACTAGTGCTCGTTTAAAGCTATTTGAATAAAAACTATTAAAATGTAGGTATTGTTTATTACATGTCGGCTTTCGGTAAACTGACCTCTGAAGACTGCCATCTTCTAGGCGTTGCATGGCAGTGTCAACGAAATGGAACTTTCCATCATTCTCATGTTCCATATTAAACTGAATATTTGTATGTGCGTGGTTGAATAATCTAAGTATGTAGGAAGCATGACTTTCGTTGTTGAACACTACAAATATGTCACCTGCGACATATCGACAGTAGGAAGTTGTTTCGTTGATTTCATGCTTCAACTTTGTTTTCTCAAGTTTGGACATGAATATATCTGCTAAAACACGGTTAAGTGGACTGCCCATAGCTACACCATCTGTTTATTGGTAAAGAGTGTTGTCAAACTGCAATTGTACATCCGTGGTACCCATTAGCACTAGGCGTCTGAATTCCAACACTGGGATTGGGAGAAGATCAGACAGCTAAAAAAATGATCTTGATAGTTTCATTGATTGGGATCCTTGTAAAGTGTCTTATTTTTGTCTCTTAAATTGTAAGTTACAAATGATTTCACCTTTCTTTATGTAAATAAATGAGAGGTAATATTTTTTTAAGATTTTAGCATTCACTCAAAGAACACCCCTTTGTTGTTTATACTGTCAAAGATAGCTTTGCAGATTACTGTGATTGTTACTAATTAAATTTACTGAATGAAGTTAAACCCATACCGTTGGGCACAGTTTAGAACGTTCTGCATATTATAATAAGTGAAGAACACGCACTACCTTATTGGCCTGTAAAACTGAAGAAGGATAAAGTGAGGTGGGAGAGATTAGATCATTACTTTATTTCTAAAAACTATACATAATTACAGTGAGTCGATGGAATAGCGGTTAGGACGCTCGCCGACCATTCACACTGTCCGGGGTTCGATCCACGGCCGACGCACTCTTTTACCTCGCTGAGCCAGAAATACTGCTGGTAAAAAGGGAAAGGTTGGTCATGAGGCTAGCAACCTCATCCTGTAAATTAAACAATGCTACAGAAACTTCAAGCCACTAGCTTGAAGCCCTATGTTCCACTGGGGAACGTGAAGGAAACAAAAAAAGTACATAATTATGCATATAAATATGATAGTTAAACAACTTTATAAATCTCAGTAACCTACTTCTTGTTTAAAAGCTTCCAGTTCATCCAGTGTATACTGAAGATGTCGAAGTGTCCCGGCCACATTAACAAGTGGGAACAAACCACTACAATAGCGTGCATGTACAAGTGTTCGAGTTGAATTAATAAAAGACATTTCATGTTTACAATCCATTCCAGATGTAAGACGTGTTAAATTCAGTCCCAAACTACGTATACTATATTTACGTAGCCATTCACGACTGGTAAGCTTTCAAATTATAAAAAACAAAACAAGGAGAGAATAGATATAAGAACAATCAGGTAATTTCATAAGGATCAGCAAAATTCCATTTGCACTAATAATACCAATTGTGCATTAAGATTAGGATTCTATATCAGTGACAGATGACAACACCCAACCAAAGCAAAGCAGGTAAAGGGCACTAAATTAGTATAAGCAGGGTTGAAAAAAGTGTGGATACCTAGATAGTTTTAGGCTAGGAAAACATGAGGTTTAGGAATATGGTTAGATCAATGTTAGTTTAAGGATGGTTGCGGTTAGAAGTTAATTGGTGGATGGTGACTAGCAGTGGAATCCAGAATGCACATTTCGTCCTATTCGGGACTTGTCATCTGGATGTACCTGCATTCCGCAGTGAGTGAGGCTCGAACCCACTGCCCATAGAAGCCGACATGTCAATCTGAGACCGAGCACTTCGGTCCAATCAGTCGACGGGAAAATCTAAAACTGAATTAAATAATGGTTTCGGTTAGATTAAGGTTAGCCTTAGGGTTGAGTTAAGAACCTAGGTTCGTCTTTTTTGTGCAAATGGAGGTTTCAAGGTCACCGGTGCCTTCGTTCTTTTTCATGTTTATTGTTTAACTTGACCCCAAAGTGACAAACTACAAAACAGAAACAATTGATAGTATGAAACCATGTCGGTTTTATGAAAGTGAAGATTTGTACCTCAGGTGAGTGATATTGGTGTAGTCATGTTCTCTGAGATGGATGGTACTTTATTTGTGAAACTTCCATCCATCATCCATCTAGGCAATATCTTTAGCGCAGACTTTGATATGAAGATGTTGTCTGGATAGAAAACTAAACAATTCACCTCAGAAAACACAACTTTACCAATATATTATGTTCACTTTTATCAGAAGTAAATAAATGCTAAACTGTAGTTAAGTTTAATATGCTAGTGAGCTCTTATCTGGGGGTAATATATCACCATTATTATTATCCCCTTGGGTTCCAAGTGGAGCATATAACTTCAACAACACATCTCCACTTTGTTCTATTTTTTTCTGTCCTTTTCAACTAGGTCCACGATTGTCCATAACCTCATCTCTTCCGCACACGATATCCTCCATTTCACCGTAGGAGACCCAGTCATCACGGTGAAGTCTATAGAATGCGTATTATGAAGTAGTAGTATAAGTCGTCCACTAATGAGTATATAAAAGGTTTAGTTCCCTAAAATATCAAGGATGATATTATGACATTAACTGTGGTTATTGTGACTACAGTCCACTGGGTTGAGTGAATTAACTTCAAATCTTAGCAAGCAAGACATCAGTCAGTAAAATGCTTAACGCGTCACAAGGAATAATCAGTTTTATTTTCAAATACTCATGATGGCCAGTATACTAAAGGAAGACTGTATCAGATATTTGACTGAATCAAAACATTTGGTCACATTCGATAAAGACAGGAAGATAATTAATAGAGACATACTTTTTCTTCTTCTGTAGGTATCTGACAGTTGAATCGTCCAATTTGAATTGGTTTCCCGGTGATACTTGATTTACTCCTACCAGACACTCTATTTCTTATAGAAGCAGACTGTGTTCTGTCAGTAGAATGGCTTTCTGGATACCAGGTTAAGGATTTTAAATGGAGATCGTTGCCAAAAGAAATACTCTTTATTTTCGCTTGAATTGCATCTTTTCTAGCCAATGTTAATGAGTTTAAGCGTGGTTCCAGTTGACTTGAAGTAGTTAATCCATTCGTTATTTGATTGTTATTATTACTGGCAGCAGCAGCAGCGGTAGTAGTAAGAAGACCTTTTGAAACCACACTTCTATCAGACTTATTCTGATCATCTCTAAACATGTTTTTTAATTTTATCAAATGGTAGAAAGCATTCAGACAAGGGAATTAAATTTGGCTTTAAATAATCAAAATGCAAATTAGTACATGTTATTAGCACTGTTCATTAAAAATATCCGCAGTATATTTTCTCATCTTTTGACTGACTGACTGACTGAATGATACAGTAAGCCAGTGACTAGAAAAAGTTAGTGGTAACTTATAGGAATTGTGTTGTAGAATTCATGAATAAAGCGAAATCCTTCATTTCCTTTCCCCTATGATCGTCTCCATGTCACTGTGTACCTACGCCCAACACTTCACTTCTAATTCAGGTTCTGCTAGTGAACGTGGTGCGTGATATCACTGTCTCCACAGAGTATGTTCCATTCACCTCCATTCCATTCTGCATAGATTTCTGACTGGTTCACTACTAAAATCCCGTGCAGTTTGTCTTTTCTGATTTGAGACTGGTCCTTACAATTCAGACCTTTTTCCTTCTGCTGAATACTGCGGATCTCCACACTGACTTCAGAGTTGTGAACGCCTGTCTGTCTTTGTTTCCAAAACCTGATAGTTTTTATATTGTCATTCGTGCCAGCTTTATTGGGAACAATGCTGTCCGTGTAAGTGAGAGAAAGAGACGACTTCGTTCACATTTCTCTTACTGATGGTGATTAGTGTTAGTTACTGGTCGGGTCGGGTATCTTCTATGTTTTCTCTATCCTCACTTGAAGTCTTGTCTTTACTGCTTGTTTTTTTCACCCAGCTTGTTGATTTTCGCTTGTATATCTTCGAGTCTGTGAGATATGACTCATAAATGATCTGAGAAATCCAGATCTTCTAGGATATTTTTTAAACATCCACTCACAGTGTGCCACATGATCCAATCCATCACAGTCAAGAATACAGCTGTTGAACGAGGTTTATAAACATTTGTGGGAGCTCACTCCATAGTGTCACTTTCCTCGAATCTACTGTGTTCTTGGAGAGGCCTTCCATACAGGACATCTTTTAGTCTTCCCAGGATGATGGCACTTAATATATCGCTTTTGTGTAGAGTAGCATAATTCCGTGCTTAAGTTACCTTTCTTTGGCAGTTTAACAAGGTTCCTTTTCTTCCTAGTGGTGCATACTTGTATGTTGATATTCATTGAAGAAGTACTTCAGAATATCCTGTAACTTACAACTCTTGTTTCTGTTGTAGGCAATTTCATTTTAACTGGTTACCTTATCAGAGTGAGATAGAACTGAGTTCATCTCAAGCATTTTGCTGTTAGACAATGCTGAATATGGAACAGAAACTAAATATTTGTAAGACCTTGCAGTAACAAGATATGAGATAGAGTATAGCAGTTTTAAGTGGTTTTATTTAGGCGTTTATTGACAGCATCAGTTGCATAAAATGAGGAGATATTTTATTTTATTTAAAATTTCATTATAGCTTGACTCCACACAGTATTTTTCATACAAGTATGGAATTTTCGGCATGTGATATCGGTAACCCAAATTTTGCAGAGCGACCATTGATATCATGTGTGCGTCGGCCGGGGATCGAACCCCGAACCATGTGCATGGTCGGTGAGCGTCCTAACCGCTATGCCACTGAGTAGTAGTGTAACAACAGAAGACAAGGACCAGGCAACAGATCGTTTATTAAGGAAAATCAACACATATTTATAGATTTTAATGTACATTATTGTAGATTATTGTTAGTAGAAAATACAGTCGTTTGATTGGTTGTTTCTCACACAAAGTTAACCTTGCATCTCTTTGCGGCTGTGTCAGATCATCCATATGCTAACTGTATCCGCCTACGCAAAGCCTTTGTTCTCATTTTCACACCACCAATATTGGGGACATAAACATTGACGTCAATTACTGTCTACCAACTTTGGCTAGCAGCCAGCTCTCACCACAGTAGTACTTTATACCTGCAGTTTAGTGTATTCTAAACGAAGTAATATTATTAAAAAAAGGGGACTAAGCTTGAAAAGTAATGTCACAGTTTAAAAGTAAGCGTCGGTGGCTCGGCAGTAGGATGCTCGCCGACCATGCACGTAGTCCGGGATTTGATTCGCTGCTGGCTCACGTCTTTACCTCCCCTAGCTGAATGTTAGCTCGACAAAGATGAGGAAGACTGAGTGTGAGGCTACCAACCTCACCTCGTAAAAAAACCGCACTGCTCAAGCTTGAAGCCCTATGTTCCACTCGGAACGCAAAGGAGTAAAAACATTTTGTTTTAAAACATTTCAATACAAAGTATTAATATTAACCTACTTTGATACAACTCGCTGATCTCTAACCGATGCCACCAGCAGTTGAGCTTGTTTTGAATAACTAACAGCTTCATCGATTTCTTCCAGTAGGACACGGACATCATCACTTTCAATGATACCATTCTCACGGAACCAATGAAAACGTCCATTCGGTGTTGAATGAGCTATTTCCCTAAAGCAAAATGTCACAAACAGAAGTATTAAATACTGGTCAACAAAAGGCATATAAATTTTGGTTGACAGATGTTGTTATCTCTAATGTACAGAATCAAACTTAGTTCGCTACACAGCTGATCCAGCTGTTGTGTTATTGGATAGACGAACCACACACAACAACAGACTGAGATCATTGAGGTTGGTAAATAAATAATCAATTTAGCAGGAGCAGTTGACTGGTTATACCCTAATGAAAATGTAAAAGAACAACTAAATTCACCTACAGCCTGTCTATTCACATGTCTATATGATAATACAACTAACAAAGATAAGACAGGTATAATGGCGTGCTGACCTTCGGTACTTCCTGGTCTTCAGTGCCTCTCAAAATGAGTTCATTTCGTGGACAAGCTTGAAATCAATGAAATCCCTGCAAAATAACACGTTAAAATCAATCTAATACCTTCCCCCCAGTGATTGACTACAGGATTCCGTCGTCTGAAGTTCTAACAAGTAGTTGTGGCTAGAGGGATCCATCAAGTAGGGTGTGAAGACAAATACTCACTGATGGCATTGGCTGGTGGTGGTGATGCCATATTTTATTACAGATTAGCAGAGGTTGGAATTTATGGGTTTCCGGATTATATCCCAGTATCTGCTTAATCGACAAGCTCACCTTGCAACCTAAAGGTCCTGAGTTCGATCTCCAGTGAGGTAATGGATGCGTTCCGTTGAAGCATCCCAATCTGCAACGAAACAAATGTTCACTACTCTGTGTTATTCAGTGAGCCTCAAATTGAAGTTAGTCGGTCATCACATTAGAAGTCGATTGAATGCCCGCAAACCAACACTTGGAAATAAATAAGACAGTCTTTTTCACATTATTTCCCACCTTCCAAGGATAACCTTGCATTCATAAATATTTCTTAAAGAATATACAAATAGAAAGCCTTAACTGATTAGGCACATTTCAGAAGGCTAGATAATGAAAAAATATGGTAAATTTATCTCAGACATAAACGGTATATATATTTATATATATATATATGTTTGGCTATTTGTAGAAACCTTCAAACGTGTATCAACAGAAATGACAGGCGAAGTTCATATAAAATTCGAGGGGTTACAGTAATAAAAGCACATTATTTTTAATAACTTTGAAAACAACAAACAAAAATGATAATAAGTTAAGATTTACCGTAAAGAATTAGCAGTTTCTGTAATATTTGCATAACGACTTGGTAAATGTTTATTTGTAACAATATCATAATCATTCACATTGTATAACGCTATATGTACATGAGTGTTTGTAAAGGTGCAACGTTTAGCTTCAAGATACGACGATATCACTTCACTGTCTTGATCAGAGATGCCTGATGTAAATAGATAAATACCCAAAGGTAGTTCAAATAGATCTTTTTCTGATTGGCTTTCAAAAGCTAATCTATAAAGACAAGAAGAAAAGGCTGGAAGTAGGCAAAGGAATAGATGATATCATCGACCAAAGAAAAAAAAACAAGTCGTCAAGTGACTCTACACCTTTTCAGATATTACAGGGGTAAAATTTGCACTGACTGTCAATGTCATCAGCTATTTTGTCTTATTCATGCTGACAGGCTCAAGGTTTTTACACGGTGTGTATTTGTTTTAGTTAGCGTCATTTTACAGCCTCTCTCCTTAATTGTAACTGCTGTTCTTCATTTTTATTGAAGACATTTTGAATCGGGTGATTTCTTGAAGTTCCAGTCTATTAGGAAATGATCTGTTTGAGAGACGACCTAGCCAACGTCTGATATCGTGATAAGAGACTTCGGTAATAAACAGTGACTTATTAAATGCAGAATATAATGAGTGTCGTTGTCCACGAAATTCGGCTTCAACTCTCGTTTGTACCGATGCTTAGTTTATCGATAAGAGGTAAGTCGATTGGATGCATAGGAAAAATTATATCTGAGGTTATATATATGATCACTATATGTCTAATTTCAAGGGACCAACGAACCAAATCTTCCTTCATTTATTTATCACTACATTTTCGAAAGATGATATGATTCAGAAAGTAAGAGACGTGAAAGTTATGCTTTAGGAACAACTAAATTGCTGCCTATGCAGCTGAATAACACAAGTCCAAGTCCCAAATAGAAAATGAGTTTTATCAAGGTCCCACATATGCATCTCTGATAAGCACTAGTTAGCACAAAATTTGCGGAAAACAAGACTTAACAGGGCTTTTGAAGACTTTAGAAGATCTGGACTTTGTGCATGATTCATGTCTGATGTCGCACAAACTCAAAGATCTACAGCCGAAAACCAACAGACTGGCTCAAGAAGCAACGAAGACAGGGCTCCAGGTGAACATAGAAGTGATGAAGACACCCAGTCAACTAACACCAACTACTGTCAACAGGAGAAATCTGAAAGAGGTTACTGCCATCACCTATCTGGGAAGCATCGCTTCGGTCACAGGGAGTCGGAACAGATGAAGATGTCAGAGTCAGAATAGGAAATGCGAGATACACCCTCATCAATCTGAAGTCAGTTTGGAAATCTTCCGCACTCAGAATGATGAACAAGATTCAGACTTTCAGTATAAATGTCAAGTCAGGTTCCTATATGATTCAAAGACTTGGTTCACGCGTCATCGGAAGCATTTCCCCCAGCCTGCTGCAGACTTTTATCAACAGCTGCCTTCGCTGGCTCTACAGTGAAGATGATATGGTCTGTTGGCCAGAAAGAATTAGCAACAAGAAACTGTGGGAGCGAACCAATCAAGAACCTATTGCTCAACAAATATGCAGAAGATTATGGAGATGGATTGAGCATTCGCTGAGGAAATCGTCAAGTGACACAGCATCCCAGACTCACGGGTGAAACCCGAATGAGAAAAGACGAGTGGGTCGTCTGAGGGTGACATGAAAGAGATGGAATTAGAAGGAGATGGAGACTACGGTCAATCGTCGGCGCAGCTACAGAAGACAGCACAAAACAGAACAAAGTAGAGACCTTCGATTGAAGCCCTATGTTCCACTCAGAACCCTAAGGGAGTAATAATAATAAGAAGAAGAATAAAATACCACTCAGTAAGCTACCAAAGGTTTAGGAGTGCATTGAACGGAAAATCAAAGCTAAAGCTCTCGCTTGGTCAACAAGCATTCTACCCATGCACCCCTGAAGCTGCAATTACCCAAACACGGTGAATATTATGAACAAAATAAACAAGGTGAGATAACTGAATATATTCTCATTAAGAATACTGAAAACCATCAAAAGTGGTTTGTTGTAAACACCAACCTTAATGCACTTAATAAATTACGACTGCCAGAACAATGATGTGTTTGAAACCATTCCCAGGAAGCTTGCAATGTGTCAACATTCACATCGACTAGATTCAACTGATAAGCTTTCGGCTCTGAACCAAATATGATTATATTGAATTTAGATTTTGTAGAAATTTGTTCCTCAAGTAAATGACGTAAACAATAGTGTATATGAACCATATAGACAGAATTATTTTCTGATAAGTCGACAAGGATTATTGCATTTGGTTCGATAACTGTACCAAAATATCCTCGACTTTTCTGTGTTAACCAGTGTATTCGTTTCTCCAGCAAACAAACCTACAAAAGAAAAATGTATAAAATGCTGAATAAGGTTAAAGAAAATTAGGCAAACGGTGGGTAAAGATAATTTTCTTCAAAGTGTCCTTAAAATTTGTTATGGTAACTGAGTTTATATATCCGTTTAACTAATGAAATATTGAAATAGTTTAATCTTAAATTACTCATTAGAAAACAAACACGCATATCTGAAAAGTGAATATTGAAAACTTTAAAATCCAGTGAAAAATAAATATGGATTATAACTTTTGCGTTGTCATGAAGTGTCACAAATGTCCACGTGGAATATTGTGGAAGAATGTTGCGTTCTAAAGCCCATTGTGAGTAGTGACTATTTTTGCCAGTTCAATAAAGTCCAGTGTGAATCACAAATCTTAACCGCACATAATCAATATCTTGTTTGAAACGTTAGTTCTTACTTCAGAATGTCTCAACTCAACTGGAACCGGATGTGTGACTTGAATACAACCATTTGTTAAAAATATCATCTTGGTGAATAATTGTTGATGGAATTGTGAATAATCTAGTTAAACTGCTCCGATGATATATGTCTGATTTCCCACAAACTGGAAGATATGCAAGTGAAAAGCAACAAGTTGTCAGAACAAGCATCAAGGATAGGCCTTCAGGTGAACATAGATAAAACAGAGGTGATGAAGATTCCTGGCCAACACCACCGACAGCAACAACAGACAACAGTCAGCATAAATGGAAGGAACCTGAAAGAAACAACCTCATTTACCTACCTACCTGCGAAGCATCGTTTCAACTACAGACCCAGAAATCATCAAATCTTCATGCCAACCAAAAGTTTATGTCTTAAAGTGTGTATAGCTTACAGATAAAATGCTGTGTTCTGAATTTTCGGTATTCCAAGTATATTTAGATGAAGTTTCCAGAATGGACCCCATATTGTGGCGGTATGCTGGCCTCTGTTGAACAAGTATCATGTCTGGTTGTTTCGTTTAGGACTAAGTAAAAAAGTCTGAATATATATAGTTAGCAAACTTGTGCGAATTATCGGTCCCATAACCATGAGTTTATGCTGATATTTGTGTGGAAAGCCTTACATCTGAAAAACAGAGGTAGATTCAAGAATATAAGACTTATCAGCTTAACTATCATCATCACTATTTCCTTAGGTTCCGAGTGGAACATAGGGCTACTTCATCACCTCTATGTTCATCTGGAGTCCTGTCGCCACTGCCTCTACTGCCAACTTGTCGGTTTTCGGCTGTAGATATTCGAGTTTGTGTGAAATCATACATGAATCGTGCACAAAGTCCAGATCTTCCAGAGTCTTCTTGTCGGTCCAACGTGTTCCTGTCTTTGATCACCCGACAGCCTTCCACATGATTCAACTCACCACAATTAGGAAAATCACTGGAGAGGGTAGGCAGTCAGCTTGTCTTACTCCCGTATTCACTTGAAAGGCTTCGGTGAGATTTCCTGTGGATCACCTGACACGCGGCACTGTCTAATAGCTGTTGAATAAGGTTGATAAAGATTAAAAGCACTCCGTAGTACCGGGGAAGGTTCCAATTCATTTCGCGGTCTGCACTGTCGAAAGCTTTTTCAACGTCGATGAAATTGAGGTGGATATTTGACTGTCGTTCTATGCTCTGTTCGATGATGATGATAATCTGCGTTGCAGTTTTACCCACCCATGATTTCCTTTTCCTGAATCCAGGTGTTTACAGGCGGAATTTCGCATCCACAGCATTTTCAGACTTACCAGTAGTTTCGTTAAATGAGTATTGTACACACTGCACATGCCAATATACTTCGCTCCTGTCATACGTGGTGCATGCTAGTTTTGCTTGCATTTAATTCCAAAGAATCTGATCCCAGTGAAGCTGACCGAAATCTCAAGCCAATCTTGACTTTTATCTTAAAGTACCTTATTAAAACTAATCTATCATATGAAATGACTCACTTTCGTTCGTTTGAAGTATATGAAGTACACTACGAAAGTGCTTAGGCTTGATGACGAGCATTTTTGACTTTGATTAAAGGACAAAAGCATTCCTCAACGCAATGCTTACCATACCGTGTTCAACAAGTGGAAAGAAAGCACAAAATGTATTAAAGCTTTGTTCCACTACCAGGTAATCTCTGGAGTGGATAAAACACCTGTCCCGTGGTGTGTGATTTCTCAAGGTGTACTCATTTGGTGTCTGGTAGCGAAGTATGGTCGGTAAACTAGTCGCTGATATATCTGTGTTGGTAAATATCGTCTTATTTTAATGCAGTTGATTGCAAACAACAATACGTGTATTAAACAACCAGTTTTCATCTTACCAAATTTGTTATCTGTCTTTGGTATCTATACAATTCATTAAGATTCACGTGAACATTTTTAATTGAACCATCAAGCCATCTCATTTGAACCATGCATTTTTCATGTATTTGAGCACTGACCGACCGTTGGATTGATGGCACATAACCAACAACTTGAGAATATGCATTCGGTGCTAATATCTATGCATGAGAAAAAAAGACAAAAATTACCACAGTATCATTATTATCTAAAACTTAGTATGTGTTTTTACTTCGCAATATATTTCATGAAACAACGTCACCCTTTGTGTTTTTGGAAATATTATTTCGAAGGCAGACAGAGAGAATACTGAGTACTATAATTCAATTGACGGATGGTGACTAGCAGTGGAATCTAGGATGCTCATTTCGTCCCATTTGGGACTCGTCCTCTGGATGTACCTGGATTTCCCAGTGAGTGATGGCGTTCCCACTGATGCTCCAAACCAGTGCCCATAGTTTCAAACGCCATAGCGTTATCCAATAGACCACTGGGGTGACGACAGCCACCTCTTGTGCAATGGGTCATATTATTAATTATTTAATTCAATTTAAATTTTCGCGTCGATTGACAGGTACATCCAGTCGACGAGTCCCAAATGGAACGAAATGCACTTCCTGGATTCCACTGCTAGTCACTATCCACCAGTTGAATTCAAGTTACATGAACAGACATCGTCGAAGCATCTGCACAAGGAGCCGATATGTCAACCTGAGACGGAGCACTTCATTCCAATCTACAGACGGGAAAACCTAAATTGAATTAAATAAATAGCTGAGTAATATAGCTGAAAAAAGTAACTAGAAGCATATTTAGTTGGTCAGAACACGCGAATTTCACTCTTTAAGTTCAGAATTACTAAGTGTTATTCCTTAAATAGTTTTGCTGTTAAATCACGATAAGAAAAGGCTACTTTTTCAAGCTATGATCATGGTAAGGATGTTTTAAGTAAAGCCTGAGGCTGAATTTATGCATTAGGAGGTGAATTTCTGACGAATCGTAAATGGTTATGCTTTCTTGTGTAATTGTAAAGCAGTGTAAGATACTACTTTTTGGCTGTCAGGTTCACACCAACCAACCAGACCTTCAGTAGGTCTAATTTTAAAAACTTTCATTACTAAAATTGTTTAACCCATTCTTAGGAAACCACATTCACTTTATATTAAGCGTTGCCTTAAGTGCAGAAACAACTTACCTGAAATAAGTTAAGTTTTCGAGCTTTCAGTCCATGTTTATGTAGCCATTCAATTGAAGAAGTCGGTTGAAAAGGCTTCCATTGCCTGCAACACCTGAAATATATGATAAGTTACCTGTTCACCGATTCTTGATATCGATTCAATACATACCTATCCAAATGGCTTAATCGAAGCTTCCCGTGCAATGACTCGGTATTTATTGGTTGAGGTAGTGAATATATTGGCGAATCACACAGAGCATCAGATGCCATGTTTATTTCATGTACAGCTTTCTGTGCGACAGTCGATGAACTCTCCATTTGTAACCTGAGATTACAAACAACTTCAAGAACTTTCTAAAAATAATAATAGTAATAATGAAATAGGGAAGTTACTTGATTGTGTAATTCAGGCAGTTGGTTTCTAACTAACCTTGTACTAATATTTATCAATTTCTAACCCAAAAGTGTAGCTGAATTTTAACTTGTTTAGTGAAAAGATGAATGCTGAAATTAATATACGACACACTGGGAGCGGAGCAAATAAAATCCACTATATGTCCTACATATAGTTGAGTGTCTACCGACGGAAAGTCGGAGTTTAAATTCATTCAGTAATCAGTTTTCGAAAAGTGCCAGCTTCAGATTATTAATGCATTGTTTAAACATTTGAGTTAGAGTTAGACACGATATCAACAGCAGTCAAGAAAGCAAGCATCAACGCATCATAATATATACCACTGATTGATAGATGCGAGTGGTTAGGAACCAGTAACGTCAAACAACAGCACCTGCTGGCTAGATTGCAGTGATCTAAACACCAGAATGCCATTTAGCTTGTTTGGGGTGGAATTTATCAGCCGTCTTCTACTCAGTTCGACTTAGCTCAGAGGGTCGAATCACTTCAAACCACTCAAATTCTGACTAGCTACTCGGGTGAAGTGTTAATACATAGATGCAAACTCGTTATTATTATTACTGTTCCCTTGGGTTCCTAGTGGAACATAGGGCTTCAACTGCACGTCTCCACTTCCTTCTGTCTTCTGCTGTACTTTTCACTTGCATCCATGTTAGTCCATACTGTTTCAACTCTTCAACACACGATCTCCTCCATGTCACCATTGGACGTCCCACTCGCCGCCTCCCTTTCGGGTTCCACTCCAGGGCCTCACACGCGATGTCACACAGCGGCCTCCTCAGCGAGTGTCCAATCCATCTCCATTTTCTCTTGCATAGTTGTTGGGCGATTGGTTCTTGTTTTGTTTGTTCCCATAGTTTCTTGTTGGTGATTCTTTCCGGCCATCTGATCTTGAGTATAGAGCGAAGACAGCTGTTGTTGATAAAGGTCTGCAACAGGCTGTTGGAAATATTCTTTGTGACCCACCAAGTTTCTGATCCTTATAGCAAAGATGACTTGACGTTTGTATTGAAAATCGGAATTTTGTTGTTGATGCTGAGTGACGAAGATTTCTAGATTGGTTTCAGGTTGATGAATGTGTTTCTCGCCTTCCTGATTCTCGATTTGACATCTTCGTCCGTCCGTTTCTCCTGTAGTTGAGACAATGCTCCTTAGATAAATGAATGAAGTAACCTCTTTTAAATCCCTCCCGTTGATGGTGATTGGCGCTGGATGTTGCTGTTGTTGTTGTTGGTTGGTTGGTTATTTTCATAACCTCCGTCTTGTCTATGTTCACCTGGAGTCCTGTCTTTGCTGCTTCTTCGACCAGTTTGTCGGTTTTCGCTTGTAAGTCTTCGATCTTGTGTGACATCAAACATAAATCACCCGCAAAATCCAGGTCTTCTAGGTTCTTCACGTCGGGCCAGGATATCCCTGTCTTCTCGTTTCCCACTGCCTGACGCATAATCCAGTCCACCACAATTAAGAATATCCTTTGTGATAGTAAGCACCCTTGTCTGACTCCTGTGTTTACTCCAAACGCCTCGCTGAGTTTTCCGTTGTGGATCACTTGACATGTGCCATTGTCGTACAGCTGTTGAATAAGGTTGATGAATGTTTGGGGGTACGCCGCAGCACTCAAGTAGTTTCCAAATTACTTCACGGTCAACGCTGTCGAAGGCCTTCTCAAAGCCTATAATGTTGAGGTACTAATGAAGAGTCCCAAACTAGGACGAAACAGCTATCCAGTACTCCCAGCTGGTTTTCCAATGCTTCTCTAACCAATGTCAGCTCATGATGAAATCCTGTAACCAAAGTGTTTCCTGTCACCACATAACCGTCTGGAGTCACTTGGAGTGTGAAACAAAAAATACGGAAGTCTCCAGTTCAGAATGTAAATCAGGTGAGAATTTACTGGTTGATAGCTTGTGTGTCAGAAAAGCCAACAGATAGTAAAAGAATAGACTGAACTGAAACGTTTAAGGAATGACTCATTTCAGCAGAGTTATACTATCTAGTCATAACTCAGCCGATACTATATTTGAGAAATTAGGATAAACTATCTAATTTTAAGTATGCATGTGTACCTACTTCATGGAGCCAGTCATATTGGTATTAACATGTAGCGTGTTCACCACTGGATTTCCGAGTATTATTCTACATGGTTAGGCAAGAGTACACAGAGTGGATTAACATAGCCATTAGCGTTGTTTGCTGCAAACCTACCAATAGGAATTTCGTCTGACCAGTATACATGTACATATGTGCGTATATTTCAGCCAATGACAAGAACGCATAACTAGGAAAATAACTAGGAAAAATATTTCGTCGCTTAATTTGTTATTTTCAAAATCTTGAAGGGGGAATTTTCGCTATATTAGGAGGTAAGAAGCGACGATGTACATCTACGTAAATTTACAACAACACCCAGTAATTCAAATGAACTGTCGTCAAGATTTGACCGAACAGTTCTAAAATATTTGGGCGCCGAGTGAGAAGTAGACATTTGTAAAAAATTATATTTGTAAAATCTCAGCGATATTGAAATAAGTAATTCCAACGTTCCGAAACGTTGGAATTACTTATTTCAATATCGCTGAGATTTTACAAATATAATTTTTTACGAACACCCAGTAATTTGAGAAATTTCTCGCTTCTGCTTTCGTGTATCTTACTGTTTTTCTCACCACTTACTTTGAAGCTAAAAGTACCATAGAAGTGGACATAAACCTATATTCAGAATGTATATATGATGTATATATATAAATCTGGGGTAACAGGTTGTTGACTGCCTGTCAAAGTTCTTCGTTGCTTATTCCTTCTTGCCTGTTATCTGACCTCCAGTAGTATCGAGATAGTAAAGTCAGGTGTTGGTGAAAGTCTGCAACCAATTGTAAATGCCTTTCATGACATGCACACCAACTCTCTGACATTACCTTTGAGATCAAATTACCAGTGTTATAATATGCGAATACAAGTCCCTGGTTTAGTAAATAAAGTATGCATTGTAGACCATCAATTTAATGAATAATTAAATAAATAAATAAATGAAATAATAAATGCTTAAATTAAAAATATATTTATCTTATGATTACTTGTGCATCATATATTTCTTTTAAAAGACGAGCAATTTCATCACTTGTATACACAGCTGATTCATTCTCAGATAAGTGACAATGATAAATGAAATCGTTTTTTATCGTGGCCACTTGGGCCAATAATTGATTCACATCGGGATTATGACAGTCATAGGCGACTAGGTGCAGTCGAGGCAGACTGAAACCAGCCAACATTTGCTCTATATATTGAAGAATGAATGGAGCAGGTTGATCGGGACAACTGCCGCATATTATAATGATCACATCCAGTTGCTTTCTGCCGTACATGATCATCTAAACAACTCAAAAGAAAGTCAGTTATGCATATTAAAAATAATGTTGTCTACATACTTTTCTTCCTTAAATCATAATGAAAAAAACAGTTAAATTACATGCCAAGTTCCAGACAGCCGTTTTGTTTTGATTCACAACTCTTCCTCAGTACACACCGGTTACCCCGTTGGGCATCGATCCGCAGACTTTCATTTTACGAGGCCTGTACGTAACCATTTTAGTTCGGTGGTTCGGTATCATAATGCCTACCAGATAAGTGGGAGGTTCGGGATCGGTTCCCGGTTGACACGCGCCTAAACCTTGCCTAGCTTACTAGCGCAGTGTGTGTTTCGAATTTAAAGATATTCTGACCAACATTTCAAGCACTTCATTGAAACACAAGGTTAAGTATGGAACAGTCCAACTTCTTGAAATATAATCCTACTTACGTTCATGACTTACTGGATAGCATTCCAGCCTTATCTGTTAGTAATATGCGTCAGCTGTGGTATATCTTACTGCTTCAAAACACGAATTTCATTTATTCTTAAGAATAACTTTTATTTGAACCTTAAAGTGTACAGTTCTTTGCCGCTACTTTCATTCAAATTGTTTCTGAAGAAGCACAATAGAACATAAGGTGATTATTATTCACCCAGCACATAGTTTCAGTGTCCGTAGATTTACAGTTTAGCTTATCACTCCTAGTAAAACAAAAATTGACCTTCTATACAATTCTTCCAGTTAAATTTTAAAAATTCACAAATAGTGTGAACTGGCTGTCAGATGGGAAACAGTTACAGCGATTTCATTGCATTGTAGGCTCTCAGGTACAAAAATACTTTGCCGACTTTACAATAATTTCACACTAAGACTTACTAGGCATTTTTGTTCGGTTTACTTCGTTTCTACCTGCTTTGAACTTATCTTAAAACAGCTGTCAGGTATACGACTTTCATTTTCAGGCTTTGAAACATAATGTAATACTACATATTGGTAACAACAATAAGCTGATGTAAGCAGTTTCAGTTGCTTATATCAACCAGTAGCACTAATGTAGGAGAAATATTTTAGCTCCCTTGATAAATTTCGATGAAGAAAGGAAGAAGAAATTTGCAGTATAAAATGATATCATTCTATTCATGGGCTACCTCGAACAGACACAACTGAGCTCTGCTATCAATGGAACAACCTAGTATCGCCGATATGCTGATGACACATTTGTTGTTTGCAACGACATGGATCACGCATCGGCTTTATATGATCGCCTCAATGAGACCTAGACAAACATCAAATTCAACATGGAATAATGAACATAATAATGAGTTCAACTTCCTGGATCTAAATGTAAAAAGAACAAACGATCGAAAAGTTCATCTATAGAAAAGAAACCTGGACTGGGCAATATCTTCACTATAATAGCTTTTGTCCCATTAGCTATAAACGTGGATTAGTGAGGACTTTGTATGACAGAGCCAGGAAGCTATGTTCACCAAACAAGGTCGAAGGAGAGATGGGTTTCGTTGAGAAATGCCTAAGAGAAAATGGATGCCCGAAGGAATTTATACGAAAGTATAGCAGAGAAAAAGATAAGAAAGAAAAGCACCCAACTGTAGAAAAGAAAAAATGTTTATTTGTCTCCCATTCAAAGGAGATGCAGTGTCACAAAAGATTGACAGAAGACTGACAGGAGCAATAAATAGAAGCTTCCCTGCAGCAAAACTCATAACATTATGCAGTACCACTTCTTTTATAAGACACTCAAAACTGGATAAATACCCTGCTGATGTCACCTTCAACTGCGTTTATGAATTTACGTGCATTTGCGGGAGCAAGTACATTGGTAGGATGGAAAGAAGGGCTTTTATCCAGTTTTCTGAACATATTCCAGGAAATCTGTGCCTGAAAGGAAGCAAATATTCTCAGAGTGCAATTACCAGACATATTCTTGATATCGGACATCTCATAGAGATTTCTAAATCCTTCAAAATATTAAATAGACAAAGGACAGCAAATTTACTAAGGTTTGCCGAAGCGATCGCAATCAAACGATTCAAACCAACCAGACTTATGCGTACAGAAAGAGAGTGTGATTAATCTCTCACTCCCTTGGTAACTGAATTTTGATTTTGATTACATTAATTAGTCATCTAAATTCAGTGATCTCAACTCACTGAACAAATTTCAATCTCATAAACTGTAACCGCTTTTGTTTTTTGAGTTACTATGTGAACCTACAAGCTAACATTATTTGTTGATTTTTTCTGTTTTCTATCTTACCCTCCCCTTATTTTCTACTTTGAAAGCGTATAAATTGATGATGGAAACTTAAACTAAAAATTGTATTGCTTACATTTTGAATGTGTCAGCTTTATAGTATTTCTTCTCTACTACCACTTAAACATTAAAGTATGTTATTATCATCTATATAACCATTGTAATTTCAGGTAGTCTGCAGCTGATGAGAACCTGTGAAATAGAATGATGATATCATTTTATACTGCAAATTTCGTCTTCCTATCTTTATCGAAATATTTTGGCACTGTGGCAGAATATAATTCCATATGATAGATAAGTTTACTTGACATAGTGACTAGGCATCACTAACAGGATGATATTTCCAGCACAATTTATTACTCACATTCATATCAGTATGTTAACACAACTTCCTTACTTGTCTCATATAGCTTAACTCTGTCATGTTTGTCAATGCAGTTTTCCATGTATCATGTGTTGGTGTTGCATGTATGTGGTGTTGATTTGATTAACAAATGTTCCACGAATACACTCTCATTGTATCTAACTATATTACTTTTTAATACCTTTACTCTATGCAATGATTTGGTGGGTGCTGACCATCAGTAGAATCTAGGATGCGAATTTAATACCATTTCACGGATGTGAGATACGAATTTCGAATAGAGAGAATATGAAGAGGATAGAGGTTACTGACCAACTGTTAATGATGGCTGCATAGTACAAAAGGATGACAACAAGCAAAGGTGTTAAATAAGGAAGTAAAATCAGCTGGTAAGGCCGTAGAGTGCCGTTATGTGAACTGGGTAGAACATGTGCCACGCATAGTGATGTATAATCTTTCTCGATGAACATTGTTAGCTAAAATACGATAGGGTTGGATAATACCTTCAAATAGTTATACCTCAGGGCTGTATCAATTCATGAAACTGTCAACCGTTAGTTTGAGGCCTATATGGAGGTGTAGAATGTCTCCTTAGGATCCAGAGGTTGAAAAATATTTTTGTGATATAGCTCAAAATTATTGACAGTCGTGCACACGTGTTCAATTTCTAAAATCGTACAGATTCTAAACACTTTCACTAATCATCTGATTATTTTCTCTCCCATACATCTTCCCCCTGTCAAGCTTTCATTACCTTCACTTGTTCTGCTTTTTTCTGTGCTCTTCTAAAGTGTGGTAACTTCAACTGATGCAATTCGCGCAAAGTTCTACTTTATTTCACTAGTTGAATTTTTAAGTAAACCGAATGTTACTATAAATTCATGTCAGTTTGTTATGATAACCTGCTCATCTGAATAAGAAGCACAGTTTCCTAGGTTACTTTTCAGTTAATTGTAATGAATTTTGGTGGTGAGGAAATGACTACATGTCGAAAATATAGATGAGAAATTTAACATCAGTCACTTCCTTTGAACTTTTAACTCAGCTTGGAGATTTTTCATAGCTGACAATTTACTAAAATTCATAGTGATATTAAGTGATAATTAAGCGTACAGATACTGGCTACATTGTTTATTTTAGGTTAATAGTTTAGTGATTTTTGTGCGAAGATACGCTTGCCGCTTTACTTATTTTCATATCGACATATTTTACAAACAGGACGGCAAACAGAAAGTTTGATCAAGAAAAATCAACATTCCATTATGGGTAAATTTTATTTTGATAAAGTCTCACAGTGTTATACAGTAATGTTTACTGATGACTTATATTCTCTCTTATTTATGTTATTATTCCTAGTTTCACAATTCTTTTTATTTTATTATATTAAATACAGAACATATCTCTAGCTTCTTGACACACATAAACTCACTAGTGGAGGGAATAAAATTCACATTTGAAGCCAAAAATGCACAAGGAGAATTAGCTATGTTAGATTGTAAAATAAAACGAATCGAAGAAGGCAAACTACACACTAGTGTTTATAGAAAACCAACGCATTCTAATAGATATTTAGACTTTAATTCATCTCATCCTTTAGCTGTTAAGGCAGGTTTAGTTAAGTGTTTAACAAACCGAGCAATGGCACTAAGTAGCACAAAAAAAGACCTAAATGATAAAATAAAACAGATAGAAGAGGCGTTGGTGTTAAATAACTATCCTTTAATATTCATTAGGAAGATTGAAAAAGGCCAAAAGAAAAATAAAAGGAATTGTGAAACTAGTAATAATAACATAAATAAGAGAGAATATAAGTCATCTACAGTTATAACATATAAAGAGGGGACATCTGAGACCCTACGTAGGATTCTCAATAAAGCAGGAATTAGTGTGGTGGCATTTAAACCTACAAACTCACTCAGGGATAAGCTCTGTAGGTTAAAGGACCCAGTTGACCCAATTAGACAAAGTAATATAATTTACAAAATACCCTGCAATGACTGTGAGGTCAACTACATAGATCAAACTAGTAGGTCAGATTGTCAGAACATAAGAATTTAGCTAAGGTAAGAATGGTTGACCCAGAGAAGATAAGTAATTTAGAAAAAAGCTGAACAATTACAATGCATGCATTAACACACAACCACACAATAGGGTGGGAGAGGGTTAAAATTCTGAAAAGTAATCTAGGTAGGTGGAGAGAGAGGTTGATTACTGAATGTTTGTTCATCGAATCTACACCCAACACATGCAATAGGAATGAATCATCACTCATACCTGAAATATGGAAAATAATACTACCAATCAAATCAAGTGAAAATCAAGTGGAACTATATAAATGAATTTAGGAAGTTGTGTGATTACCTTGATATGATTATGAGCAATAAATTGTGCTTGAAACGTTGTCATCAGTAAACATTACTGTATAACACTGTGAGACTCTATCAAAATAAAATTTACCCATAATGGAATTACACTCTACCACAGTGCACAAGTTTTATTCTTATATCGAAAATCAACATTAATTAATAAAGTAAGCCTCACATGTTTTATACCAGTCAACAAATTGGATCCACCAGATGGAATCAACTGCTCTTTGATAAAGTATTTCAACTCGTTTATTACACGTGTATTCACATTCATTGGATAAGGCCATAAGGCATTGATTTGTGTTCCATAACTTGCCACATACAGCGTTTTTATTTTATTTGAATTCAGCTGTTCATTTACTAATTCAATTAAATGTTTTTTAAATTGTTTATCTCTATTAAATCCTAAATTGGCATCTGAACTGTCTAACAAAAGGCCAACATTTTCACCACGAATTAAACCGAATATTTTCCTTGTATCCTAAAACAAATTTTTTGTAGAAAAATAAATAGGAATATATGTATATATGTAGACATAAAGTAAGAGAGAATTTAATTTTACCATACTTACTTGGTACAAAACGTAGATAAATAATCATGATCTGTCTGTCTGTCTGATTTCGACATAGAATTTTGCACCGATGTGCAGCAGTTCAAGTCGCCACACTCCATGTAGCACACAAAGCAAGAGAAGAAAGTAGGAGAAATGCTTAATATAGACAGTAAACAGAGGTGTGACACCAAGGTATAGTAATAACGAATAACAAAACAGTTTCATTGGAAATTATAAGTCACAAGGAGTGGATGCATCTGCGCTGTCATTGAGAACGATTTTGAGCCATGTCACCAATCGTTTCCAACCATTGGTTTTTACCGTCCCGAGGACAAAAACCAGGAAGTCTACACCTTCCTACGTGGCTGGCTTAAACTAACTGTTGTAGATTTCATTGACTGGTGCCTTGTTTTGGTTTGACCACCACTGGCTAGCTCTTTCCCAGCCTGACCCTATATCAGCTAACATTGCCCATTGTCGAGGAAGGCGATGACTAGGCATACGTAACACATGTCCTAACCATCTCAGTCGATGTAATTTCACAGTCTCGTCGATTGATTTCCCCCCTTTACCTAGCACTCGACCGATGCCTAACCTCAATATTGCTCACCTTATTATATCATTTCACACGGGAGATAGAACGCAGACACCTAGGATCAAAGACAGCTAATCTTTTCATGTCTTCCACTCTCATTGGCCAGGTCTCACAGCCATAAAGGAGGACGGAGCGGACTGATGAGCAGTACACCCGCCCTTTGCTCGGTAGTCGGATGTCACGTCTACGCCAGAGACGGCGTAAACTGGCATATGCGAAACTAGCCCTCTGTATTCATACTGAGATTTCGTCAGAGATCAACCCGTTGGGGCTGATGGTACTTCCCAAATAAGTGAAGCGATCAACGTGCTCTACCACTTCACTTCCTATTTCTAATCTAGGAGTCGGTGTAGTGCAATCCTGTAACATCATCTTACATTTGGCGGGAGCGAATCGCATGCCAAACATACGAAGATTGCTGCTCAAGGTGTTCAGAAGACTCTGCATTTTGTCAGCGTCCTCGCCTAGAAGGACTATATCATCTGCATATTCTAAGTCAACGAGATTATTTCCTGGTAGCAAGTCAATCCCTGAGTCTCTGAAGTGAGTTAGGGTTAATTCCATCAGTACATCTATGATGAAATTGAATAGAAATGGGGATAGTGGGCATCCTTGACGGACGCCACTAGTCGTCACCACTTCAGATGACAACTCGCCATAAGCCCTCACCTGGCTGCATGAGTACGAGTAGAGTTCCTTAATCAGTGCAATGTATTTTCTCGGCATTCCCTTTACAGCCAAGCATCGCCAGAGAACCTCTCGGTCGACAGAATCGAATGCCACTTTTAGGTCAAGAAATATAGTGATTATTGGACGCCGGTAAGAATGCCTATGTTCTAGAATCTGTCGAAGGGTGAAGATATGATCAATAAACCCTCTTCCTGGCCTAAAGCCTACCTGGTTTTCTCGTGTTTGTGCCTCCCGAGCACCACTTAGTCTACGCAGTATTATTGACCCTAGGACTTTAGATGCTATATTAGTCAAGCTAATCCCTCTGTGATTATCACAAGAAGACTTGTCTCCCTTCTTGTATATCGGGATGATCAGTGACTTACACCAACCCGATGGGACTTCCTCTGATTCTCAGATGCTGCCTAGAACCTCAGTTAATGCAGACAGTAAACTGTCTCCACCGTACTTAAATACCTCTGGAGTCATTCCATCAGGTCCCGCTGCTTTGTCTTGTTTCAGATTAGTGACAGCTGAATAAATAATAATGGATGTGATTGTCAGTATTCGAAATATGATTCAATAGTCCTTTTTTTCACTTCATGAGTTCCGAGTGCAAAATGAGGCTACAAACTTTGAAGTTTCAGTATCGATTGTGTTTTTCATGAGGTGGGGATGCTAATCTCACTCTCAAGCTTCCCTCCTTTACGAATTAATAAGAAAGGTGAGGTTTAAGAGTGCACTGATCAGGATTCGAACCTGGACCATCTGGGTGGCTGACGTTCATCCTGTTATTAGGCCACCGACGCGGTACACCAGTGCAGCTGGAATCTTATTGGAATTTAACAATGAGTGACGGGAAAATTAATAAGCGATATAGTGTAAGCGTGCTTGTCTATAACATTCATCCTTTATATTTAATAATCACGAAATTTTGTGGTACTTGTATGCCTACTTAAAAAGTCATTTTCTATGATAATTTGGAAAAGTCTTTCTTACTTATAACCTATAAGCTGTAAACATACAACACAAAAAATGAAGGACACTGATTATCCTGGTACGGAGTGACCATCAATCTACCCAATACTAATATCCCATTGTTTCAAATATGGTGACATTGCTTATGTGGACAATATATTTCATGGTTGTGCAGCACCAATGCAATGTCTTCTTGTCTTTTTGTCTACACAAGTTTAAGTTAAAGCCCTGAAAACTCAATATGGAACTGTATACTACCATGGTATAAAAGTTCCACACATATACTAAGAACTTATGTAGTTTATTCGTTGTGAGAACTGAAGCTTTAAAGCAGGCACCTTAGAATTTCATCAGTTGTTTTCTCTCTGGTAAAAAAATTATTTATATGTTTACATGCACTGAAGTCCACAGAGCACACACTACTAATCTTTAATCTTGTGTTACCTACCTTCCAGAATTCCTGTCATAAGATAGGTGATATTACTCGATTCACTGTCAAATAGCAGCATAAGAACAGACTACTCCTGTGAACGAACAGTTGGATTTTGTGACAGACTGTCGTAATATCCTTTCCACTTTCCCTTGTTTACTCAACAACCACCTATGCTTGCGTGCAGTTTCCAATGTATCACACGTCTAATGTATGAGGGCCAGTTATACTTCCATGTCGGCTTAATTTCGATAAGGGGAGCGGGATTCAAACCCGTGACCCAGTGGTTGGAAGTCACAACTCTAGACGAATAAAGCACACCTCCACGTCCGTTTTGCTGAACTCTCTCTCTTCTCCCATATAAAAATCACTAGTGGCTCTTTTAACATGCCAATGTATTCTAGTGAGTTTAGATATTTCCCAAGTTTATAAGTGAAATTACTTCAATACAATATTTGCATTACCACTTACGTTTACTGTATTTCGAAACATTATAAACTTATAAAAAACACAGGTAAAAAATGGAAAATCCCACACTTCATGAGTTTATGTAAGCCGTCTGGAAAGTTAAGCATGTGTGACTTATCTTTTATTAATTAGGTACAAGTAAATTTTTTTTAAAGTACCCTAATTTAAAAATATTCCATCCTGATATGAAAAAAAGTTGTAAAATTTATGAAATATTCAAATGGCTATATCAGATTTAGTTGTTAATATTTTTATTTTCTTGTTTTAGAATCTTTGGATAAATATTTGACTCACACTCCACAAATTGAATCTTTTATTGGATTAGTGAGTTGTGATCAGAAAACCAGAATGTTACTCACCTACCGATTAAGTTGAAATCACTTTAAACACCATTAAAACTCAACTTTTAAACCAGAAGCTTTAAATTCTGCTCAGTTTGTTTTAAAGTTGCAACAACCAGAGCCCATTTATGATAAATATTTTACAACCGAGATATGCACTCAAAATTATGAGATACTTTTCAGGTTACAGTGCCGAATCTGTAGTTTTGTGAAAATTTAGAAATTATAGGAAAATAATAATTCCACAGTTATGTTGAATCAACTGATATAACATTATTTAGTGAAGACTGTCCACCTAAATTTATCGCTCACTATAGTATAATAGCAATCATCAGAAATAAAGTGTTCTCAAAGAACCACAATTATATAATACCACGCACAAACTGTTTGCCAGATGATAATCACTGCAGCTGTGAAGTTCTCTTTGTGTTGATCGAAATCTGTCGACCAAGCAGACAGTAGAGTACACTAAGTAAACGGCTCGACAGTACAGATTGTAGAGTGCCTTTCTTTGAGCGTCATGTATTCGAACTTCCTGCTGACTTAGAGAACTCAGTGTCAAAACAAACAATGCTGTTTTCCAAATGTCTAAATGGGGATATTTTCTATATTATAATCAGTTAGTCCATTTCTTTTGTCAGTCTTTTAGTTTCGAAAACTGATCGTCTAAAATGTTCATCTGAAATCCGACTCTATACCGCTACAGTAAACGAATTACCAGTGCGTACAATTACTACATGAAAACCATTATCATTCAGTATTAGTTTTCACTAAACAAAAGGTTTGTCCTTAATTAAATGACTTCACCATTTCAAAAAAACTCCAAAACTCAAATGCAGAATTAACATAACTATTTTTTAATAAAGAAAACTCACTTGCATTAACCACCTAACTCGATTGGTGTAAGAATAAATGGATTCGTGGAGACCACATTCAAATTCATTAACTTCCTTCAAGTCATATTCAAGATGTGACGGGGGATCTTGTTTAAACTCAGCAACAATTTGATCCATTGTTACAGTTGGATTTTCTTTTCGTTCAAATCAAACAGTTAAGAGATTAGTGAATATTTAAGTGAATTTACCATTAAACTTGCTCATCCTACTCTCCGAAAGTTTACCCATTGCAACAAAATCATCGATTGTCAGGTGTTTAGCTTTCAGCCCATAATTCTCCAACCATTCCACTGTAGACTGTTTCACTGTCTCTTCAGCACGAATACGTTTACTACGGACCTTATTGAGAGCATGTTGATGATGCAGTTTTGTTTGCATGAATTCATCAGACAATGAAGTAAATGCACATGACTTATGGTTTGGTTTTGAAACATCTGAATTCCATTTAGGTTTTCTTGCCGCAGAAACAGTGTTCGGTATGGTATCTTTGCTAAGATTTGCCTGGTCGTGGAGGAATAAGTTGAGTGCTTCGATCTGTAAAAGTAGTCATTTAAGGCATTGGTTCAGTGTTCAGTGATTTAAATAAAAGGTGCATCGTGCATATAAGAAATAACCAGTCTACGCCTAACAGAGGATGTGAGCAAATAAATGTCTAATGGTAGCTTTATAATGTTGCGAAAATTGCTATTTACTCAAAGAAGTGACATATTTTTTATACCTATTTATTCAAAACGCTTCCTACATTGTCGATTCGAGCAGTGTAAGGAGATCAACAGAACTAAGCTGTTAAACAGTGTACAGATATTTAATATGAAGTGTGTGGGAATCATTTTTTGGATGATGAAAAACACCGAGTTATATCACTTGTGACTTTATAGGAATTTTTTGCTCGTTTTCGTCGGTTGAATGTGAGTAGACTTATTGAGCTCTACTGATGAAATCAGTAGCCTCTACATACTCGAAGGTACTGAGCTATACAAATAATCATTTTCCAAAACCACACGAAAAGAACGGAATTGTCAGTCAGATTTTGAAATCGCTGTCTAAGAAGATCATTTTGACAAAATTACAATGTGTAGTTTAGGTTAGTTAACCCTCACCATAATTAAGTCAGTGAGGTCATGATGTTGCCTCAGAAGACCGTAATACATTTATTTATTTATCAGATCGGCTTACTTAAAGGTAACATAAAATAAATCCTATCTGACAATAGAAGTGATGGAGATATGATGGTCATCAATAGTCAATTGAATGTACATTCGAAAATAACTGAATTTCGCTTTCTAAGTAACTGTCTGGACATATAATGTGACAATATCCCTAATTCTCCCACCTATGAAACATGAATTTCCAATTAAAAGTGCCCTGACTATCAAATTCAAATGACAATAATGACTATCAGGATAAAAGACTGTCTAAAGAAAGCCAAACAACTCTCCACATAATACAATAAATAGGCAAATACAGTTTTAAGAGGAACATCTCGAGTAAAGTAAGAGCGAAAATGGTGAAAAAGAGCCACTACTATTCCCAAACGATCTGCTTCATAAACCTTTATTTCACGGGAAATAAAGCTAATGGCAACAGAAGAAGAGTAGAGACATTAAAATTTTGCCTGTGTCCCGAATGGATGCATATAATCTATGAATTAACAAAATTAATAAATTACTTTCGTTTCTTCAACACTCTTTTCAAATTTGTTCTGAAATCTATCTCTTTGATACTAACCTACTTTTCTAACTTTCCACTAGAAGACGCAAGAAAACATATATATTAGGGAATTAAAATTACGATAATGTTCGCCCTCATGCTGTGAAATCTCCTCATTGCCTCTGAAACAGAATGTTTCCGGTGATAAAATGGTGAACTACTAGCTAATAACTGATTCTTTTCTGGCATAACAGTGAATATTTCTGCGCAGTCTTCAAGAATTATTTACTATGGAAAAGTTATTCTTTGAAATCCTTTTAAAATTTTGATACACGTTTCGTAGGGACGGGTTATAAAAACTCTAAAACTTGTCACAAATAGCAGATGACGTTGCATTATTCTCATACACGTGGTTATATAAAGACACCCCAAGGAACAAGTTACTTTTTGTAGTATGGATGGTAACAGATGAGAGAGGAGAGTTTATACGGAAGAGGAGGCAGGAGGTAGGCGTTTATCTCGAGACATAGCTAGCTAAGTGCATTCAACAATCAAAAAGGTAGATTTAGGAAAAAAGATATGTGTAAACTCTTTAGCTGGCATTAAAACATTACAGAAAATATTTCACGGCAATCGAAACATTCTCCCACATTTCGGTGAATAAAAAACTAACCTGAATTTCTGACATTGGCTATGTAGTCTAACAGACGGACCAACTTAATAAGTATAAAATCAATCTGTAAGAGTGGAAATCTTTGGGTTTTCAGTGTTGATTAGGTCTCTAAAAATAAAAATTCAGAATTATTACCATAATTTATCACATATCAACAATTCTGACAGTACCGATTACACCTGAATGATTTATTCTTTCGTACAAATACGAAATTACATAATTTGAAACTAGACGACTTAAAGTTTAGAACAACCACAATAAGCGTCCAGTAAGAGATGCAGTAAAAAGGTTAACAGCCTATGCTCCAGATAAATGTGGCAAAATGTGCAACCATGCGCACTGGACAAGCAAGCACGAGCTCCTACGAACTAGAGGGAATTACACTTCCATCGGTTCAGACTCACTTGGACTTAGGTGTCATAGTTAGCCACGACTTAAAAACTACAGCACACTGTCGAGCGGTGGCTGCACGTAGTTTCAGGTCATTATGGGCAATTCGCAGAGCCTTCACTAGAATCACCAGAGATATGTTTACCTCCTTATATACATCTTTGGTGAGGTCAAGACTGGAAAACTGCATCCAGGCTGCCAGCCCTTGTCTAAAAAGGGACTCACACATTCTAGAAAGGGCTCAAAGGAAGGCAATACGTATGGTTCTCGGAATGACTGATTTATCATTCGAAGAAAGACTAGACTGTTTAAATCTCTTCTCCTTGTCATACCGTAGGCAGAGAGGAGATTTAATCACAGTGTTTAGCACTTTAAATAATGACTACGGACCTGACCTATTCTCTCTTTTCCTTCCCTCCAGGTCGGAACACCTTAGAGGACATAGCAGGAGAGTTCAAAAGCCAAGAAGAAATCATATTGCTGTTAAGTACTGGTTCTCGCACCGAGTCATAAACACTTGGAATCGACTCCCAGAAGAAGTGGTGTCCGCAACCTCAACTGATTCGTTCAAAAAGGGTTTAGACAACCACAGAAATTTAATAGAAAAGGATTAACACAGGCTCCAAGCCTTCTATCCTCAACCAATAAATCTGAATCTTTAACGCTGACATTTAAAATTTTTTACCTGTACGTACAGATTTTTCAATAGCAATCTACCTCAACGGGAACAAGATCTGATTACACCAAATAACAGCCATCTTCTTCCTGAATTTTCATTATATAGTTTGGTGGAATTAAGATCAGCTACTGTACGTACTGGCTAACATTTTAACCACAAACACATTGAGTGCATTGAATATCTATTTTTCAACTGACTCATGCTTAATAACATAACCACCGTTCGTCTTGCATATGTGATTCCATTATATAAATATAGTTGCTTATAAAATAGAAGTATATTCTATTGCATCTTCAGAAATTTAAAAAATTAGAAATATAGTCTGAAAACTGTTTTCCTCCGAAGATTAATAACAACTAAAGTATGAAACTATATATATATATATACCGTAAATATATTCGGTATATATACCGTATAGGATAGACAACATACAGGGTAAATCGCTCGGATAAAACTAAAGTAATAAGTACTTCATATGATGAGCGAACAAAAGGGAAGAACTTTCAATCAGATGATGTATCATTTTTATTGTAAAATGTAAATTAACACAATGACAGTATGAGGCACGTTGTCAGGGTATTAAGGCATCTGTTAATAAATGTGATTGAACTTTAGTTCACGTAAAGGTGTACTTATTAGAGCTGCCTGTTTACATGCCTCATATCGATTCCTGAAATATTTTTTTGGCCGGAGTTTCAAGAAGCCCATGATTTTACAATTTACATGCTACTAACCATTGATGCATTTAAACAAATACTGCACACATCGTCAAATTCAGGTTGCCATTTTTCATGAGAACATAAAATTTGTGGCCCAACAACATGCACTTCTAATAGGCGACTTGTATTTTACATTTTCTTAATCAATATGTCAGCTGGAGGATCAGGCATCTCATCAAGCCATTTCATCAAAGGAGACCCAGTATTCTTCAGACGATATAGTTTGACCTACATGATGGTAACGAAGACAGAAGACTAATCAAATCACTACTCATTTCTTTGATTGCTGCCTGCTACTGAGATTCACTCTAAGTGACTGACATATATATCAAGACAGATTTGGCAGGTTTAGATTTGTCCCTGGACATGATCCAGCTTTTATTTGCCATAAAATTTGTCAGATATAAGGTTTTCCCTTTAATTTTGTAAATAATCAGTGGTAGTCTTTTGATTATCTAAAGTGCGGATAAAACTTAAATGTTTGAAGTCTGAGGAGCAGTTCCTAGGTTTATTTTTATGGACAAGGGTTTCAGTCGAGTCTTTCAGGCAAACGGTAACACTTCTGTGAAACAGTAAAAGCCTCGAACAGCCGTCAGTTAGTCGCTAGTGTGGGCTGCCAGATCCTTGAGGAACCTTGTGTGAAGTTTGTCGGGTTGTAGTGATTTCCGTGTACCTAGTTTTCTATAGAAACGGAATAGGATTTATCCGTCTGCTTCAATAAAATATAGGCAGTTATTTGTGAAGAGATCAGAGCTGACGGCGCCTATGATCTTGGCTCCATTGTGAAGATCCTGACGAAAATGTCTGTCAGCAATTCTACTTATTCATCATAACCTTTGATGGTGTCAGTGAACAGACTGTGGCCCTATGAGACATCTTGTCCTAAAGGTTTATGGATGAAGCTAATCTCGAAATTAGTCAACACGTTCCAGTAATGACAGGGATGTTTCATAAAAACAATGTTTTGTGCCGTTTGTGACAGTCAGTAGAGGTATATGGGTGGGTAATTATGGTGATGCTTGAGTTTACGCTATGTAGCTAACATACGGGCCTGAGGAGATTCGAGACAGTCCTCTTATGAGTGTGCAGACATAGCAGTATTGATGATGGCTTTCAAGGCTTCTACTGTAGAAAGACACTAGCTTGGAACGCTGCAGTAATCACCGACCTAAAGGAGACCATTACATAACGACTATTTCTTGGTTGTTGGAACATACTTATCGAAGTTCACATCTCCATCATGGGAGAAAAAACATAATGAAGACTGAGAGAGGATAATAAGCTGGTGCCAATGTGTCTAAATCAGTGACTTATATGAGCCAAGCTTTAATCTAATTTTTGCAAGTATTCTCTAGATCAAGTTAAGCCATTAAGTACAGACCATGTTCCATGACTTCAGTAGCCACTCAAAACCCTCTGACACATAACGTGCATTTATTAAATGGGATAAACCCACCAAGCACAAAACTTAGCCTGTTAATCTCCCGCGACGTCGAAAAGGTTTTCATGCCAACCAACAGTAGAACGCCTGACACCTAGCTCACCTGAGCGTCGTGTCATATTTAATACTTCCATTAATCAAAATGACGTTGGCTTCAGTCGGTGACATCTTGCAGCATCTTGATTGCAGCCATAATATAGCGATTGAAGCATGCGATCATCAGTAACTCTAGAACTGTCCTAGACATACAGTTAAACGTCACATCATTTGTTCGTACACGCTAGTCATTACCAATTATGATCACCTTCAACAGCTTAAGAATTCACTATTTTCTTTTTAAAGGGAACAAGGTTAAGGGTCATAGGTGGCCGGGTTGGAAATGCTTGAACTATGGAACCTGGGTGCACAGCATTGTACATGGACTTCGGTATATGTCTACCTATACTCACCGTTCACCACAGAATAAAATGTCAAAATCTGTGGTTTGTTTCATGTTAAATGTCGATTTCCCTTTAGTTTTAAAAGTATGGAACGTGAGTTTGATATGTGGGGATAATGATACTGAACGCAATGAACACATCGAGTGAATGCAAACTCTATTCGCAGTGTGTAAAATGTAATAATCTATACCTAATTGTGCATCAGGTATAGAACATGAGCACCTTGACTCAGTTATCACCAATACATTGGGCCTGGTGACCAATACTAATGTTCTTACTTCAGACTTCTTATTGATTGAGGAAGGTGTGTTAACTGATAATATCCTGAATAAGTCAAGGGAAATTAAAAATTGACTTAAAATATCACCAAAAGCAAGGTCTGTTTGCACACAGCACAAACAGAGTTTATGGGTGAAAAAGAGGTCGGATTGGGTGTTCATATGTCGGGTTTGCACCGTGATGAGGTGGTCCTAGGTGCCACTGATCGTGTCAGCGATTTCGGACTCCTAAAAAATTCAATGTTCCTGGATGCAAGGGTAGTAGATGTTGAGTCTGGGCTATGGGTTGTGAGGCACTGCAATGTGAGATCTACGCGCCAACCTGTTATTTAGCACACAATTAGGTGTCTTGTAGTCGTTTCCCTGGCGAAAAAATATTCTGGGTGCAGTACCTTCTGGTGCAGGACTGCGGGATGTTTGAAGCCTAAGTATCCAGAAGGTGGGGTATGCTGATGATCACCACCCATATATACACATGTATTTCGAGGGGGTTTCTTTGTATCTAGAGTTGATATGCTTATTCTCGTCATTGTTGTTGAATATAAAGTATTCCTCTGCTTTATTAGACTCAGTCCTGAGAAATCTGTTCGTCTTGTAACAGCAAAAGGCAAGACATGGAAACGGACGTATATTTTCAATAGATCACATCGCTATATATGTACATATATATATATAGTTTGCATTCTTTAACCAACCCCCGAGCGTGTGATCTCGGTTTACATTAAACGACATGAAATATAATGTTCAAACATATATAGTATTCGGTTGCTAATGCGGTATTGAACTGTGGGAATATGTCAGAATAATATTAGACTGGAAAACTTTGTCTCTATCACACTACGACAGTCTTAGTAAGGTCACTACCTTTAGGTGAGCCTTTCTTAGGACCCCTTACGAGCAGTACTTGCTACATTATTGCCTTCCCATGGGGCTTTCGTTATACGGGTACTAAAGTCTTAATCAGTTCTCAGTTCAATTGGCAAACATGCAGGTCGTACAGTTTGCTCAAAGCTACCTTGAATGCTAGCTGAATGTTCCGGTACACAACCCACTTTTCGTGAGTCCAAGCCTGAAGAGGTGGTGAAATTACGTCACGCATTACTCTGCGATGTAAAGGTATTTTATCCTGAGCTATGGTTACAGACTTAGAATTTCCATTTAGGCTTCGATGATCTTGAAACAGCAGCTGTCCAGTACCCCCTGGTTTTCAATGGTTCTCTAACTGATATCAGTCCGTGATCAACTCGTAAAACATAACTAATCCTTACAAACCAAACTATAGAAAATTATTCTGATGCTCGCTAGTGACTTACTACAGGTTGGAGCTTCCTGGAGTTCTAGTGAGAAGTCGTGACCAGTGAGGTGCAATTAGAAGTCACGTGTGGATGGATTTCCACCAACGACAATGGTTGGGGCCGCGCTAGATCACGAACTGGTAGAAGTTAGAATTCATGAGCCATTGAATCGGGTCCCAGTGGCTGAATGGTATACGAGCTTGCCTTGTAACCGGGAGATCCTGGGTGCGTACTGCCGATGATCCCAAAACTAGGATGAAACAGCAGCAGTCCAGTACTCCAGTGCTGGTTTTTAATGGTTCTCTAACTGATATCAGTCCGTGATCAACTCGTAAAACTTTCTAGCGTCAAGAGAGTTGCCAAACCAAACATTTGTGGGATGGCTAGACTGAGTCAACTTTAAACGAAATCGTTTGCAGTCTTACAGCACATCAGCCATGCCACAACAATTCAAGATCTTGTTTTTGGTGGTTTTTGGAGTCAGTGAATCAGTATATTGTAATTTATTGCTTGGTCAGATGAGGCTACATGCTTCAAAACTTCGATAACGAAGCAGTCAGTGAGGTTTTTCTCTTTAAATACACTCTCCCGAAACAGTTTTGGGTGTTTCTCAAGGAGGCAGATTAGTGAGTCTGAATCCGCGTTTTATGAATTACATCCAGTAAAGACTTAACCAGGTATTTAATTCTATATTAGAGGGTGATAACGCAGTATTAACCGAGTTTGAGCTGTTATCTAAAATAATTGTGTTTCTACGAACAAGCTTTATATAAATTTGCCCTGTAAATTTCAAGGATTATGTATATCATAATATCAGCGAAGATACATGCGAAAATGTCACCAGTTCCGAAAATACTGTGACAACCGTGTGCATCACTCAGAGGACTACATGGAATCCGGATAAACTAATATGGTCCAAATGCGGTAGTATTGGCATTGGACTATTTTGACAGTCACGAATTAAGTACATTTCAGTACTGTGCCATCTGGAAGACCATTACTAAAGTCATGGATGCCATTCAACCGATATCTGTCTGGGATAGTTTGCTTACTTCGGCTCTGTAATCATCACTGGAGCACCCATTGGTCTGATTTCTCTTAGATAGCATCTGTAACGCGGATGCACACTGACTATTTGAAGACGAATAATACTCAAGGAAACCGTGTGGTTGAATTCAGCTTTCACTGTTTATAGTTTGTCCATGCCTAACCTCCTTGGCTTCACCAAAAAGTGAGGGGCTACGTATACTTATGGTATGGGTAATTTTTGGACCAAACTTAGAGACTCGGATGTTGATTGCCTTTAGAATTCGGGATTTCGCCACTGCTTTCCTCAACCTCTCAGTTGGTAACATAGGAAATCTGACCAGATTCAGAAGATGATGCTCACTCGCTTTACCATCCACATATCAGTAGGTTTCTTTCACTGTTAAACCTGTCTCTCGCGTATCCACCAACAAGTCACATCTTCTCAAGATATCTCTGTGTTAGCTGTATTTTCGCCAGATTTTTCCTTGGTGATTTCACTTTGGTCACAAGTTCTGAGAGCCTGCACTCAAACTTGCTCCAATACAGCTTTCCCTGGAACTGCTCCACGTGGCGCCAGAAATGTCACGGAGATCTATTTCATATGTTCCCCCTTTGAAGCAACCTCTATATACTCTGGTTTTCAGACATAGATATGTGATTTATCACTTTTCCTTCTGACACTGAGTATGGTTACTCTTTTGAAGGGTGAAGTGGAAGTTCCGCTACCCCCTTGCTAATCTAACTGACAGAACACCTCGTATAGCTGGTGGTTTCAGTCCTAAATTTGTACCAGCCAAGTCGTGATCCAGTGGGGCTAACAGTGTTTCCGGGTGATGCCAGTCAAATTTATTTCTCTCACCTTAGTAGTTACTAAATAATCTACTTCTGTGGAAGTAGAGTTCCTAAAGTCAGTTTCCCGCTTGACAAGTTGGACACTGTGCTGAACAAAAAACCATAACAGAAGGCATGTGCAACTGAAGGAGAATTCCAGAAAAAATAAAATAAATAAAAATTTACAAGCGGCAGTTAACTATTACAATAAAGAAGGCGTCTTGTGCAAGAAACCAGCTCATCAAATGATAGACTGTTATCTCTATCCAAACAGTTGCCTAAATTTCAGGACTTCAGCCTGCACTACTTCAGAAGACTTATTTTGGTTTATTTCTCAAAGGGCGGGAGTGGGTAACGGAGAATCTAACCAAACATACCTGAGTGCATCCACCCTTCGATGGATAATGAAAGCCTTACAAATCATCCTTAATTCATTAATTACTACACAGGTCTGAGTGGTCCTTAAATATCGCGTTCCAGAGCAGCAGCAGGACATTTGACACAGCACACTGGCTTAACGTTTGGCCCAAGAAACGAAGATTCTTGGGTAAGGGGTTCAAGAAATGTCTTTTGAGCTGCTATATTCAGAGCTTGATGCAGCTGTTTCATGGATATGAGATCATTGCAGAGCAACAGAGATTGTAGATGAAATGAAATCCCGTCATCATCTGTTATGGTTGAGTACATTTATTTATACGTGGGTATAATGACATTGAATTCAATGGACGCATCCATTGAATACTGGATACGACTATTCCTCCTCCTCAGTACCTCCCACTTCACTGATCCACGCGAATATGAAAAGACATAGACCGGAGTGTGATTACAACGGTGTATTTATTGGTGGAAATCACCTCATGTTCATACATTTCTAAGACATTAAATCTGGCTATATCAGTGGTTAATAAATTATTCTGGTCGACTGCAGTTAGTCATGGTATGTACATTAAAGCGACGAGGTTATACGATTAGTTCCAGGATAATCCAACGGGGTTGTTATTGTGTCCAGATTTGAAAAGATCTCTTGCCCCTGCAACCACTGGCTTCGAATATTGATTAGAATTTTGGCCGTTTACTAACAGAACGTGAATTGGGATCTATTGTTATTTTATTATCATTCCCTTGCTTTCCGAGTGGAACAGAGGGCTTCAACAACACATCTCCACTTTGTCGTATCTTCTGCCGTCCTCTTTAGCTGGAACCACGATTGACCAAATTCTCTCATCTCTTCCTCACACGATGTCCTCCGTGTCACTCTAGGAGAACCCGCTCGTCGCTTCTCATTTGGATTCCACTCGAGCGATGGCCTGCGTTGCGTGCGGTGTCATTCGGCGGCCTCCTCAGTGTATGCCTGATCCACCTCCACTTTCTCCTACATATTCGTTGAGCTATCGATTCTTGGTTGGTTTGTTCCCATCGTTTCCTGTTGCTTATTCTTTGTGGCCATTTGACCTTCAGTATGGAGCAAGCGAAGGCAGCTGTTGATGAAGTTTGCAGTTGCTTTTCGTGACACGCAATGCAAGTTTCTGACCTATATAAGAGAACCGACTTCACATTGGTGTTGAAAATGCGAATCTTGTTCCTTATGCTGAGTGTAGAAGATTTCCAAACTAGTTCCAGATTGATGAAAACGTATCTTGCCTTTCTAATCTTGACTTTGACATCTTCGTCTTCCTTTCAGATAAGTGAAGGAGGCAACCTCTATTAAATCTCTCCCGTTAATGGTAGTTGGTGGTGGTTGTTGTTGCCGTTGATTCGTTATTTTCTTAACCTCCGTCTTCTCTGTGTTCACATGGAGTCCTGTTTTCGCTGCCGACTTCTTCAGCCAGTCTGTTGGTTTTCGCTTGCAAGTCTTCGAGTTTGTGTCACAGTGGACATATATCATCCACGTGCGAAATTCAGATCATCTACAGTCTTCTTATCGGTCGTCCAGCGTACTCCTGTCTTCTTGCTCTTCACAGTCTGACGCGTAATCCAGTCCACTAGAATTAAGAATATCATTGGTGATAAGAGACAGCCTTGTCTTACTCCTGTATGGACTTCGAATGTCTCGCTGAGTTTTCCGTTGTGAATTACCTCACACTTGGCATTGTCATATATCCAAGTGTTGAATGAAGTTGACAAAATCTTGAGGTATGCCGTAGTGTTGAAGTAGTTTCCAAATTGCTTCTCGGTCTACACTGTCTGTCGAAGGCCTTTTCGAAGTCGATGAAGTTGAGGTGAAGTGGTGAGGTTTGACTGCCATTCTATGTTTTGTTCTGTAATGACGATGCGCAGAGTGGAAATTTGATCAGCACATGATTTGCTTTTCCTGAATCCAGTTTCTTTCGATGAGGCTGGTGGAGTTGTGTATCCAACGCATCTTTTATTCTCTCCGAGATGATGCGACTTAGTATCCTACTTGGCGTGGACAAGAGCATCATTCCACACCAGCTGTTGCACAGGCCTAAGTCACTCTTCTTTGTCAGTTTGACGGGGTAGCTCTTCTTCCAGTTAGTAGGCATCTTCCCTTCTTTCCTAACTTTTTGCAGCATTGGAGTGAGAACATCCGCCGTAATCTCTGGGACTGTCTTCAGAGCTTCGGGAGGGATGTTGTCTGGTCCTACTGTCTTCTCGGCCAGTGTTCAGTAGCTTGATCACATTCAGGATTTCTTCTCTCGTTGGAGGAGCGGTGTCCACTGACATTTCCGTGTTTGCTGTTGATGGTATTTCTGGGCGCGTTGCCGATGGTGGTTGAATCAAGAGGCCTTCAAAATGATCAGCCCATTGTTTGATTTGTTTCTCCTCCTTGGTAATCAGGTTCCCTTGAGCATCTTTTATTAACTTCGTCATCTGGGTTGATCGAATCGTGATCTATGTTAAGCTTGAACTTTCCCAACTTGATTTTGAAGTTTCGACAAACTAGATTTTGAAAGACACAGGTCTGTGTATGCTTCTCTTAACGATCTTGCACCCACTCAGCCGAGTAACAACTTTCTTGAGACTGAGATTATGTGTGCTGGACTTTTGGTGCGTCCATCCAGTGAAATGCACGTCGTACCATGAATATACTTGTAAATGCACGTGTTGCTCAAGGTTGCCATATCGTTGCAAGCACAGAAGTCTGCAAATACATGATTAATTTTACCAACCACATTTTACCCCACACAGCTGAACCAAGAATTATGAGGGACCTGAAGTCCGATGGTTATATGTGTACCCAGAAAACGGTTCTCAGCAATCTCATGGATTGAGCAAAAGGAAAAATGCTTCAAGCGAAAATGTGTATGGGGCATGAAAGTGCCCATGCGTGGGAAATAAGGGAAACGATGCTCCACTCGGTTCAAACGGACACCAGCCTAGGTGTCATATTAAGTCAGCAATGAGAAAAACTGGTGAGCCGTCACAAATGACGTGCAGCCAGACGAACCCAGACTAGTAGAGCAATCTTGAATCATTTAACAGTACATGTATTGGACTTCCAGGGTGTTTCGAATATTAGCGTCACGGCGCGTATATGAGATTGATGTGAGTTGCAGTGGCAGTTTGTGCGTTATTGATTTTAGGATTGTATCTCCGTGACTTACTGACCTCCATTAGTGATAGCGTCTCAATATTATAAAACTCTGGAGAATATTGTTACTATTTATGTTTTTCATAAAATGGTCCTACAGGCCGTCAGTAGAAGATGAATTGTTTCAGCGGAAAATCCATTGTAATAATTGCCTTCCTATTTGAAAACTCCTGAGCTTTTGTAATCACCTACAGTTTTCTTTTGTAGTTCTCGCTTTATTCGAATTATTAAGGGGAATACATGTAAGAAACTTTGTTACCAGTTTCCTGTTTTCCTGACTTTTCCTACACCGGAACACGTATAGACTGGTTTTATCTTGCCATTAAATAACTGAAAGCCTCGAAAGCTGCAGGACCCGATGAAATTCTATCAGAAGCTATCGGAATTCACCTAAAGACTGCAGCAGATTTGATCAGGTCACTACTAAAGGTTTGGAGTAAGAAAAGAAAGAAAAGCTACTCGATGATCGAAAGGTAGGCTACCTTGTCAAATTCCCAATGAAGATTGTATTCGAGTTTTAGAAGAAGTGGCATAGAATCGTGCTCCCGCCGACTGCAAGCAAAATATTAAATCATGTCATTCTGGTGAGATAAGAAGTTGCTCTGGATGCAAAACTCCATCCGGAAAAAGCTAGATATAAAAGCAACGCTACGCACCATCATCAAACAGAGTGTAGAATGGTATTGAAATACCTACCTCAACTTCATCCATATAGCAAAGGCCTTCGACAGCGTGAATCGTGAAGTAAGTAATTTGGAAACTGCTCCAACACTACGGACTGTAGCGGTGCCAACCTTTATAAACCCCACCGAGAAGCTACATGATGACCACACATACCAAGTGACTCATGCATAGTTTATAGTGGGAAGCTGAACGAAGCTGTTCGAGTAAAGGCAGGAGTGCAACAAGACTAACTGACTTGACGGGTATCAGCGATGAAGTGACTGGTTGTGGTGAACTGGATTATGCGACAGACCGTGCATGGGGAACGAGAAGACGGTCATGTGTTGGTGTTAGACCGACGAGAAGACACTGTTAGATATGGATGGACTTCGTGGATGATTGATGTCTGATGTTAGACACAGTGGAAGATGCACAAGTGAAAAGCAAGGAGTTGGCAGCAGAGACAGGACTTCGAGTGAACATAGATGAAACGGAAACGATGATTCCCCTAACCAGCAACGGCAACAACAACAACAGCAAGAAGAAGAAGAAACACGAATGATGATGAATGGGATGAATGTTAAGAATTCGTCTCTTTTTCGCTCACTTACTCGAACGGCATCGTTTTAGCTGTATGCGGAACACTCAAGGATGTCATTGCGAGTCAGAATAGTATAGCGAGGACAAGGAGACGGGGGTTCATTACTTTTTGATCAGTGTGGAGATCTACATCACTGAGTAGAGTAAGAGGAAGAAGTCGCGAAGTTTTGACACTAATGTTAAGTGTGTGGTTGTGTATGGATGACATGGTTCCTCCTGAAGGAAAGTACTTCCAACAGCCTACTGGATGCTTTTACCAAGAGCTGCTTTCGCTTCATCCTAACGATTTGATAGCCGTCCATGACGGATACCCTAGAAGTAACTGTGGCAAGCAATGAATCAGCCGAGAACCTATGACCAGATTGACAATCATTGCGAATGAAATGGAGATGGGTGAAGATGCACAGGTGACCAGAAGTTTGCTTTGTGGTGTGTTCTCGTTTCATCTGCTTCCGGTTCCATGCACAATTGAAGAAAGTGTGGTAGCTGGTGGTTAAGTTGAGTTTCAAGTTGATGGCTTGCATGGAATTGCAAGAATTGAAGTGTGTGTATATCACGTATACATGAATGTGTGGAAGAGATTGCAAGGGACTATGATCAGTGGAATTGCATGTGTGGTGGAAAAGTATGTAGGTAGTAATGTTTATTTAATGTATCTAAGAGTTGGTAAGAGGGAGAGTGCATGTAACTCATTGAGCAATGTTCCGAACCATATCCACAACTAACTCTTTTATGACTTTCCTGTACTTGCAGGGTGAGGTTTTATGTACTCTAAAGAGACTGGTAGGAGACGTCACGCTTAAGACCTCGTAATTGAATACTAATTAGACGCGATGTTTAGACGTCTGTGGTGCCTTGAGCGAGAGAGAGCGATTTACTTGAAACTAAAAGAATATGGGCAGTCATAGAGCTAAAATAAAAAGAGTTAAACTTCACCCGCTAATGCTCTAAATGATCGGTAGTCAGTCTTAAAGCTTATTCAGTTTGTTGCTGTAATGACCTTGTATACCAATGCGGAAAAACCACAGTCGTTTCGGTGGGTTTTGCTGGCTAGAAATATGTTATGGCTACAAAGTTCCAGCTATCGTCAGCGCCTGGCGTGCGACCACCCATCCAACATTGATCAAATAAGCGATTATTTTCCGGGCCTAAAGTCCTGACCTGCGTCAAACAGTAAGATACATGTGTAGCGAGCCTGGTGTAGGTCACGCAGGTGGTACTAGGATAGTGTCTGGATTTATACCAGTGTCTGTGTAGGTAGAATACTTCTCTGGCTGTTTTCATTACCTAATATAACCTTGCCCGATAGCATATAAATGATTGTCAGTGGGTGCCTACATAAAGTAGGACATCTTTGTCTTTAACACAGTGTAACTCCGAGAGAAAAGACGGATGCGGTAATCACAGGGCTTCGATATAAAGGTGCATAAGATGCACTGTTTGAGCTGACAAATTGGTAAGCTTTTTTTGAATTAGTTATCTGGGATCTTGTATACAGACTTCTGAGATAGAAGAGAAATTAGTAGTTGGGCCTTCCAGGATTGTTGCCAAATCTGCCTGTCGTCCTGTTTGAGTCAATATAGGAATAGTGTGGGTGATAAACTTCTGTACTCCAGGTGGTGTAAAAATAGTCGTGTCATGTGCCGTACTGGATCCTAGTTTTAAAATAAACCTTTTAACAATCTGACTTATGCAGATAGACTGAGACTTCAAAGTATGAGTAGCAGCTGACGAAGGTAAAGATAACAAAAAATCCAAGATGACTTATAAAATAAAGCACTACTTGTATGGAGATAATAGCAGAAAAATGGCACGAAACTAAATGACTAAACATCCTGCTAATGGATTAGAAGATTCAGTAGTTTGTGAAATCAAAAGGCCGAGGTGAGCCTTCGGTTAAGTTGTTTCATATTAGTGTGAGACCTGATATACTGTCCCAACACCAAGACTGATGCAAAGGGTTGTCGTAACGGATCACTTCTCAATTCCCACACTGGATCAGGAGATACGTCACGGTCACCGGTACCAAGAAGGTTTTACACGCCATTCGTTTCCGGATTCTGTGTGATCTAAGTTATTTTGAGAGTTTATAGAGCTTCACAGTTCTAAAGTTCTATCAAGTTTTCTACTTCAGTATGATTTTTGTCCTCATGTTTTTTAAATACATCTCTGGTTATGTTCATTAACTGTTGTGTTATCCCCGGTAATTAAGTCTAAATTCTTGGGAACACCAGCCTTTTTGTATCTGACAGTATTCACTCTTGGAAAAATGTCATGTTTTATCACAATAAGTTTTTCATTTCCCGAACATTTTGTATTAGTGTTATGTAGATTCCCCTTTATTTTGGTGTTTCATGTGTTGTTTTTTATACTAAGTACATTGTTTTTGTAATTTCAGGGAAAAAACTGAATCATCTCAAACAGACAAAAGTGATTTTGCGCTTTTGTACTAATAGATTCGTAGAGCATGTTGTAGATACACCAGAAGTGTCAGATGAAACTGAAGAGGGTGAGGTCGACGATTGTTCTGATCAGGAGGAGAATGTATCAGGTACGAAAACGAAATGCGTTGAAATTGCTTAAAGATCCTTCTAGTGACTGTAACGTTTCAAATTCGAACGACCACCACTCTTCGAAGCCTCGAATCAAAGACGTTTCACTAAAAATTTCATGTGATAAGATTTCTAAACTGTCCAGTGTAGATGTCCTCACGCCTCACAAAAATGACTCTTCACAGTCAACTCTCAGTACAGTTTTTCCATCAAAGCCAACATATGAAAGTCCCAGCAATTTCAGAGGAAACATAAACCATATACAACATACACCTAATGAAAAGCAAATTACTTCTAATCACACAAAACATCTCAGTAAGCATCGGCATTTATTGATTTCGTTTTAGCTCCACGAACATCGGAGGAAGTTGGACCACTGCATATTTCAGCACCTGCTCCACAATCAAACGATCCTCTTAAAGGTCTGAAAAATTTGGAAAAGGTACAACTTCAAATGCAACTAGCACTAACTAAAATTCAGGTAAGTTAAACATACGTAAATATGATTAACCACTTAGTCTCGTACCACTTTACTAGGCGTCAGTACAAACTAGTCATAAAGAAGTCTTGGATTTGGTGTGTATTCAGCGTACTGTGTCAATGTTCGTGAAACAAAATGATATATTTGCACTCAATAGGTTTTCGTCGTAGTCTAACTTGTGTAATATCAAGGCATGCATTAAAGTGAATTATCTCAAATATATCAAACTCAAACACTTGCACTGCTTAGTTTTAATGCCGTAATCTTACCCTAATTCATGCTGTGAATTCTTCATAAAGCTACTCCAGTGCATCGGTTATAATCTCAAGAAACAAATATTACTTCATTAAGATGGATTCTCTTGTCTATGAGCCACTATTCTTGCAAATTTTCGATTGTTGGCAGTTGTAGCAATGATTCGAATGCATCTCACATCAATTTCTAACATTGACGGAATCATTTTGCAGCTCTCTATAAGGTCTCGTTTCACATCCCTACGTTAAATCATATCATTTGGTTTCTGTTACTACACATAATCTCTTCTTAGTTTAAATTTTGGATGGTGCCCACTTCATTGGCTGATTTTAAATATTGAAGACCTGGTTTTAACAACCCAAAAGTGTATTTATTTAGCTTCATGTTTTTGTGCACTTAGCTTTATTATCATCCGAAGTGTGGTATTTATTGTATTTGTTATTCTCCTTGGTTCCGAGTGAAATACAGGGCTTCAGCACCAAATTTCCCTTTCTCTGCAATCCTCCTTACCTAGCTGTACGGTTGCCCATAAACTTTCATTCCCACCTCATGCGACCTCCATGTGATTCTCAGACATCTAACTCTTCATTCCCAATTTACGCTCCACACTAGGACCTGGCACGTGACAACACTTGACAGTGTGCTTAGCGTATATACATTCCATTTTCCTATATATTTCTGAATGTTTATGTGGTTTGGCCTTGGGTTCTTCGTTGATTCACAGCTTGCCAGAGTTCCTTGCTGTTTATTCTCTGGCTGGCCAATTGATATACTTATCAAGTCAGCGAAAGTACCTGTGGATAAAAGTCTGCAACAGTCTGTTGTAAATCCTCGTAACGCGCCAAGCAACCACTAGACACTGGTGGTGCAAGTCGGATCTAGTTACTTGTGCTAAATGCAACAGATTTATAATTGGTTTCCGAGTATTGAAAATGTGTCATGCTTTTCCGATTTTGCCACTGACGTCTTTATCCGTGCCACCTGTATTTCAAACGATGCCGTCCAAGTGAGGGAGTAGAAGAGGGACGGACTCTTAACATTCCTCCCATTCATCATCATTCGTGTTTCTTCTTCTTCTTCTTACTGTTGTTGTTGTTGCTGCTGCTGTTGCCGTTGCTGGTTAGGGGAAATCATCGCCTCAGTTTCATCTATGTTCACTCGAAGTCCTGTCTCTGCTGCCAACTCCTTGCTTTTCACTTGTGCATCTTCCACTGTGTCTAACATCAGACATCAATCATCCACGAAGTCCATCCATATCTAACAGTGTCTTCTCGTCGGTCTAACACCAACACATGACCGTCTTCTCGTTCCCCATGCACGGTCTGTCGCATAATCCAGTTCACCACAACCAGTCACTTCATCGCTGATACCCGTCAAGTCAGTTAGTCTTGTTGCACTCCTGCCTTTACTCGAACAGCTTCGTTCAGCTTCCCACTATATACTATGCATGAATCACTTGGTATGTGTGGTCATCATGTAGCTTCTCGGTGGGGTTTATAAAGGTTGGCACCGCTACAGTCCGTAGTGTTGGAGCAGTTTCCAAATTACTTACTTCACGATTCACGCTGTCGAAGGCTTTTCCAAAATCGATGAAGTTGAGGCAGGGATTTCAATGCCATTCTAAGCGTTGCAGTCTGAAATCTCTTGTTATCTTGCCTGGCGGATTTAATTTGAGTGCTTAGTGGTCGTTCCACATAAGTATTTTGTCACTGAGTGATAGAGTTCGTATTTTAAAAGATGGACTTACTAAGTCTCAGTATTTTCTGATTATATGTATGCTTAAAATGAACTTATTTTCTTGAATAGAGTAGCATCAGCTTCCGTGAAGATTAGCATTAATCAGTTCGATTTTAATTCGTCTTTTCTAGTGCTCAGTAGTATCTTGGTGTCCTCTATAACTGTATATTTGAATATATGCGAAATTCAGTACTCCTTAATTCCTGAAATTTGATCTTTGTTTCAGAAAAGTAATAACGAAACCACAATTCCGTATCTACCGTACTCTCCGCCAGGTATGTGTGCTTTTTTGAAATAAAAAGATTTGTGTATGTCGCTTTGGTGATGATTTTGTCGTTTCCATCAATCACCTTTATAGAAAACATTATTTGCTTCTATTGTAGCTTTGCGGATATAACAATATACTCGTAGCCAGCATACCCCACTGACACAGTCGTCGTTGTAATGCTGCTGGCGTCCTATCACAACCACTTAATCATTGACTCAAATACGTCAAATCGTTATTATCAATGAATATTGTAGGTGTTTGCACGACTGTGGTTTTTTCTGGTTCGTTTACCTTTATTCTCATCGTGTTTTAGTAATGCCAGTTTTGCTTAATGCATCTACTATAGCAACCAAATGCAAGCGGAGCCAGAATTTAGACAAAATGTCGATTATTTACGGAGTTTTAGTTTGCACCGGTAAGGAGATAGCAAAGTAAACCACCTTGCGGTGTCAAAGAACAACTCACTAACAAGCAGTGCGCAATAGTCTGCTGTGGTGGGTAGCAAGTACAGTATGTATGGGACCAAACATTGCTACCCTAGGTTCTGCAAAGCTTTTTTTTCCTGGGTGAAGAGGAAACTCATCTCTGGACTGGTTTTCTAAAGGCTTCTATTCCACCACTGCGACTTCTGTGGGATACTGTACTTTGTGACAACTTTCCACCGCATTTTAAAACGTGGGGCGTGATTAGGTAAGTACAAGAAATTTGTGTTGGATTACCATCTGTTTCTGTATGCCGACTGGTTTATGGGAAGATCAAGTTATCCCACCATTTTAATCAAACGTTTTTAACTATTGTGAACTTAAATTGTTCTAACTGTTGATTTTATCTTTATTTATTCAATTTTTACATGTGAAATAAATAAGCTCAAAATTTGTGTTATTTTTTTCCATTACAACATTAGTGCAAACTGTTGCCGCAAGTGTTCCACCCACTCTAGTAACGTCAGAATCTAATAACTGCTTCAATTCATATACATCTTGGCAAGCAGCTGTTCCGTCCTCAACATCTTTTGGTTCTCAGCAGGAAATTATTAATGTAAGAATTATTATTATTATACCAAAGATTATCTGTACATGACGTTAAATGTTAAGTGACACTATCTTTTGAAACTATTTTGAAGGCATATCAGATGCATTTTAAAGCTAAAAAGTAATGATCTCTCCTGGTCGTCTCATATCTTAGCGATTTCTAAGAAAATATTCCGTCTTACCTTCTATATCAAGAAGTCAAAACATTCTGGTATAACCCAACCCTTACTCCTACAATTCGTTAATTCTCGCATCCTGCCTATTATTCTCTACTGTTCCCCCCCTAGTTTTTCCCGGGCTACTGAAGAAAGACTATACCTTATTATGCAGGATGTTAAAGGTTGTCAGCAGGGTAAGCAACGTGCCACTTAACCCGCTTGTTAATATTCTGGTTGACAGGCACATGGACTCATGTGAAGAATGGGCCAAATCCATTTTATCTAACTCACACCACCCTCTTCACTCACAACTCTCCCCCTGCATCTCATCAGGTAAAACTAGAAGCCTATATAGAAAGCTATATGCTCGCACCAGCAAGTACAAAAACTCAACCATACCCTACTTAGCTCGTGTTCTGTGTGATAAAGAAAGCATTAGGCGTGACACCTATAATTCATTGAATAGTCAGTAGAACAACTGGATCTCGTCTTTCCAACTCATATCATTTATAGGTACAACATTTTCCTTCTTTCTTTTCTCTCTCTTTTCCGTTATGTGCTGCTTTGTTTCTTTCTTCCGCTTACGCCAGTAAATATGACAGCACCTCCCTTTCTAACACCTTCAAACACTGTTCAACTTTGGCTTTGCTACCGACATGCCAATGTATTGTTGTAATAATGAACCGAGATTTCCTTAATCTATGTAGAATTCTATTTATTGATAATGTACTAACTGGATGCAATACTGTAGTAAAAATGCTGAGAATTCCATTCTGTATCACATGTACTGTTTTGGAATAAAGCAAATTATTATTATTATTAAATGTAAAAAGTCTTTAAGCTGTAGTTTCTGAAGTTTGTGACGCGACTGACTTTCCAAAATCATGGGATTTGTAAGTTCAGTGACTTGCAGACGGTTTTCAACCAGCAGCTAATGCGTAACATACAATTTCGAACTTCAGTTCACTTGCATAATTTGCACATAGCTGTTTAAAATTGTATTTCGTATTAGCTGCTTAAGGTGTTTGTATGTGGTTTGTGTGTTAAATAACCGTAAAAAAAACTTGGCGTAAAATTAAAGTCACTTTACTCCTGTCATAAAAACTGCGGATGATGCTACGGTTCAGTGAAATGTTATGAGGTAGTGAAAGTCACTTGACCACTGTCTCATGAATATAACAGTTACAATTATTAATATTTCTCAGTTTTTCATGCGATAATAACTCATAAGATACATAACATATATAAGACGTCGGTCTTTATCAACTTAAACGGAGAGACGAAATAATTCTTGCGTACAATATCTTAAAGGTTGTTTTGATTCACTACTAACTTTAGAGACGACAGTTCATTCTGTTTTTCAGGTTACCTGTTCCCTCACATGGATGTCATCATTGGAAGGTCAGTATCAACAGGAGACGATCGACATTTTGAGGCAATACGCATCTGTTGTGATTGACTGCCGTAATTAGAGGTCTCTGAGTCTTACATTGAAAAAAACTATGGGCTGAAGTATGTTTGATCTCATGGTCCACTGATCAACTTGGTTGGTATTGATTGACAAAACTGCAAGTTTTAAGGTCTCCATTAAATACTATGGGTCATCACAGCCAGTGGAATCGATTTTCACATCAAAGTAACGGTCGTAGTCAGCATTACTAGTGTTTACGGTATGCCCTAGTGATACCTGGTTGCAGGAATTTGGTCATGCATACTGTGATTGTGTAAAAATTGATAATTCAAACTGAAATACATGAGCTTGTTAAACATTTATTGGCTTACTGTATTCATATTGTTGTAAATTTAAAAGTAATAAATATATCTGAGTCATCCTGATAGCTTCTGAATCTTGTCACTTAATGTATAAATTGCTGATATTTTACATAACCTAAATCAAATCTGAGCAGTTTAACGAGAATGCCCGATCAGACATTGATAAGGTTGGAGGCAGTTATTTTATTTTTTATTTATTTATTTTTTATTTTTCATTACAGCTTGATGCCACACTGTATTTTCAGTACAAGTATGGCATTTTCAGCATGTGATATCGGTAGCCCAAATTAAGCAGGCCAACCACTGATATCGGGTGTGCTTCGGCAGGGGATCGAACCCCGGACCATGTGCATGATCGGCGAGAGTCCTAACCACTGTGCTATCGTCTTTATGGTGCGAATGTCTTTTTAGACTGATATAAGAATAAAACTTGTGCACTGTGGTAGAATGTAATTCCATTATGGGTAAATTTTATTTTGATAAAGTCTCACAGTGTTATACCGTAATATTTACTGATGACGTTTCGAGCACAATTTATTGCTCATAATCATATCAAGGTAATCACACGACTTCCTAAATTCATTTATATAGTTCCATTGTTTTTCACTTGATTTGATTGGTAGTATTATTTTCCATATTACAGGTATGAGTGATGATTCATTCCTATTGCATGTGTTGGGTGTAGATTCGATGAACAAACATTCAGTAATCAACCTCTCTCTCCACCTACCTAGATTACTTTTTAGAATTTTAACCCTCTCCCACCCTATTGTGTGGTTGTGTGTTAATGCATGCATTGTAATTGTTCAGCTTTTTTCTAAATTACTTATCTTCTCTGGGTCAACCATTCTTACCTTAGCTAAATTCTTATGTTCTGACAATCTGACTACCCCTGACCTACTAGTTTGACCTATGTAGTTGACCTCACAGTCATTGCAGGGTATTTTGTAAATTATATTATTTTATTATTATTATTATTATAGGATTCTAAATAAAGCAGGAATTAGGGTGGCATTTAAACCTACAAACTCACTCAGGGACAAGCTCTGTAGGTTAAAGGACCCAGTTGACCCAATTAGACAAAGTAATATAATTTACAAAATACCCTGCAATGAATGTGAGGTCAACTACATAGGTCAAACTAGTAGGTCAGGGGTAGTCAGATTGTCAGAACATAAGAATTTAGCTAAGGTAAGAATGGTTGACCCAGAGAAGATAAGTAATTTAGAAAAAAGCTCAGCAATTGCAATGCATGCATTAACACACAACCACACAATAGGGTGGGAGAGGGTTAAAATTCTAAAAAGTAATCTAGGTAGGTGGAGAGAGAGGTTGATTACTGAATCTTTGTTCATCGAATCTACACCCAACACATGCAATAGGAATGAATCATCACTCATACCTGAAATATGGAAAATAATACTACCAATCAAATCAAGTGAAAAACAATGGAACTATATAAATGAATTTAGGAAGTCGTGTGATTACCTTGATATGATTATGAGCAATAAATTGTGCTCGAAACGTCATCAGTAAATATTACGGTATAACACTGTGAGACTTTATCAAAATAAAATTTACCCATAATGGAGTCTTTTTACACTCTGGTGTGTGTTTTATGGAAACTTGTCTAACCGGTTAGACAGGTCTTAATTGAGATAAACAGTATTTCAAGCACACTGCTTCCCTATTCTGATGAATATTTGATGGTGAGGTCAACCTTGAAACATGTACATCCTGCTCTACCCTGCCGTTTGTCAGCACTGGTGACAGGTTCAACTGTATGATCATGAAGTATCTGAATTAGTACTCGTATGACTGGCGTCAGACTCATGTCTCTGGGGTGGGTGGGTTCTGCCGTCACTCAAAAGTAACTCACTTTCTCTTACAGAAATTCTTGACAAAAGTGACAAGTACACAACCTACAATCAATACGATATTCTCACATATGGCAACACATTAGTGCGAACAAAATCAATTTTTATGGTCGTAGTTGGTCCATACCATCGGTTTCGCATGGTCTTTTAATAGTTGTAAATTTAACTTACACGTTCACTCGGTCAGAACGTCTAATACGTGTCAATGACAGACAATCGTTACTTATGTCTTAAATCTATAGGAATGAAATGAAACATAAAATAATAATATTATGTATAACTACTATTCACATCAAACTGTACTGCTTTCTAGTCAAATCGAAGTGATCTATGCACTTGACAGACGTTTCATTCCGAGGCCTGTAATCTGGCTGTACTCACAGTTCAACGAGGTCAGAGTGAGATATTTATGAAGCATGAGTTTAGCTGTAAATAACCCTATTGTTTGGGTGTTGAGGCCTAAAAAGTTATGAAAAGACAGAAATTAGTTTAATTACTATAATGGAAATGTTTCTATGGAGTTTTGTTTTCACATATATGAAAAATAGTCCATTATAATAAGTGTCACTGCTTTTCCCCTCACGTTGTCTCTTCCTAACAAATTCTGTCATAGATCTAATTGATTTTTTCTGATAGTTTGTTTGTAATTTCGTTTATGATCACACAAGTAGTTAGTCATAGTGTCCCGTTAAACCATTAGCCTTTATCGTAGAGACTAATTGATGATTAATTTAATTCAGGTGCATTCGATGTATCAAGAGGCTTTGCAGCTCTATCAGCGTGCTTCTGCTACTATTGGGTCCACCCGAAATGTCAACATCCAGGCACCACCGTTTGGCGCTCCTGTTGTTGCTTCCTCTTCAAAGGTATCTTCCCAAGGTTATCCAAATACTCAAACTTCTGTTTGTGGTCCTGACCGTTCAACAAATCTCTCATCATCCACACTAACTCCACCTCCCCAGGACATTGACCTACGTTCTTGTCCGCCTACAATGATTTCTAATCAAACACATCCACCTGATATGCAAGTTGCTTATTCATTGGCTTACTCTGCTGCCTATCAGGAGACTATAAAATACATGTCTTCCAGTGTTGGTGGCAGTTTGGCACCTAATACTCCGGAGTACTCATCGCATTGGGATCGTTCTTTTAATTACTATTTGAATTACTACTTACAGGCGCATAACTGTACTTCGGAGCTAACCAAGGGTCAACAAGCAGTCAATTTCCCTGTCACTGGCATTCCAAAACGTCCTCTTAATGATGAATCATCTGTGAGTCAATACTTTTTAAAAAAAAATATGTATCCAGATTAGTCACTTAGAATGTTGTTTTTTTTTTAACGTCATAATTGTATGCATTACAATATAAACTGGTTAGTTAGATAGACGTGAAATGTGAGCAGCACTTTGGAGTGTGGCGTGTGCAGCTCACGTTATCATCATATGTCAGAGCATCTATGAATTTGACATCTTGAAGATTAATAAATAGGTTGTAGATGTTACTTTTTTAAGTTTGTAACTTTTATGTCTTTCCTCTCTCAAACTTTGTTTATTCAGTCCCCTGAATGAGTGAGTAGGTTTAACTGCCGCCATCCTCTAATGGCTACTCTATTAAGAGTTGCTACGTAGGGCTTCTTTCTTGTTTATGTTATACTCGTTAGTTCCATTACTATTTTTACCATTTTCTTATGAGCTTTTGTGATCTTGGTGAATTTTGTTAAGACATTTATTCAGCCGAAATGCATCTCCTGTCTGTTTCATTTCATTGTTCAGGCTTTCTAACGTGCCCTTCAGAGTTTTCTTTCCGTTGTTTAGACACTTAAGTAAACTTGCCCTTACATAAATCGCATCAGATGACTTAAAGCTCAAATATGCATTAGAAAGCGTTGGCTTTTTATGAAAACTAGTGCATTATTTTACCTTCTTCTGTTACTTTTGTTCCACGATCTAACATAGCCAATTTTTCTTGTTTATCTTCTAACTCAGATGTAAATTGAATTCTCTCTATACTATTGAGTTTATATGCACTAAAGAAAAAATAGGCACATGTTCTGCTTTTAAGACTGTGATGGTGATGTCATCCACACATCTCCACCGTACTGTATCTACACTGCGACCAGTGGATGTTGATGATGATTTCTATACTATCCTTTTAGTTTGAAAGTTAAGTGAATTCCTTTCGATAAGTAAGTTGTGATCATCAGTAAATAATACCGCATCGGTGTGTGCTTTCATCAGATAAAATTACTCGACGATGAAATTCTGCTCCACAACAGTGTCTCAATTCTATTCCTATATCTACACCACACAGAACAAGGGAATGAAGAAGAGTGCTGAAAAAAGGCTAACGACAACTGTCAGCGGGACAGAATTGACTACAGGTGAACTAGACCTCACAACAACTAATCAAGTGAGTATAAGAGTTGATCTCAACGTTGATAAGCCAGTGAACTTAGACATCATCATCATCAAACGTGTCACATTTAATACCGAGAACATCTTTGATGCATTTAGATCATGGATGAAATATTAGAAAAGATACTGGACGATAGCTGAAGTCACCAACAAAATTTGTAACACTTTCATACTAGTCCCAATGAAATGTGAAAGAGAAATAAATGCGATTTCTGAGTGATGGGTTCAATTAATGTCTGTTGAGCTGCTATATATTCAGAGCTTGATGCATCTATTACATGGATATGAGATCATTTCAGAGCAACAGAGATTGTAGGTGAAATGAAATCCCGCCATCATATGTTATGGTTGAGTACATTTATTTATACGTGGGTATAATGACATTGAACTCAATGGACGCATCGACTGAATACTGGATACGACTATTCCTCCTCCTCAGTACCTTCCACTTCACTGATCCACGCGAATATGAAAAGACACAGACCGGAGTGCGATTACAACGGTGTATTTATTGGTGGAAATCACCTCATGTTCATACATTTCTAAGACATTAAATCTGGCTATATCAGTAGTAAATAAATTATTCTGGTCGATTGCAGTTAGTCATGGTTTGTACATTAAAGCGACGAGGTGATACGATTAGTTCCAGGATAATCCAACGGGGTTGTTATTGTGTCCAGATTTGAAAAGATCCCTTGCCCCTGCAACCACTGGCTTCGAATATTGATTAGAATTTTGGCCGTTTACTAACAGAAGGTGAATTGTGATCTCTTGTTATTTTACTATAATTCCCTGGCTTTCCGAGTGGAACAGAGGGCTTCAACAACACATCTCCACTTTGTCGTATCTTCTGCCATCCTCTTCAGCTGGAACCACGATTGACCAAACTCTCATCTCTTACTCACACGATGTCCTCTGTGTCACTCTAAGACGACCCACTCGTCGCTTCCCATTTGGATTCCACTCGAGCGATGGCCTGCATTGCGTGCGATGTCATTCAGCGGCCTCCTCAATGTATTCCTGATCCACCTCCACTTTCTCCTACATATTCGTTGAGCTATCGATTCTTGGTTGGTTTGTTCCCATCGTTTCCTGTTGCATATTCTTTGTGGCCATTTGACCTTCAGTATGGAGCAAGCGAAGGCAGCTGTTGATGAAAGTCTGCGGTGGCTTGTCGGAAATGCTTTTCGTGACACGCAATGCAAGTTTCTGACCCGTATACAAGAACCGACCTCACATTGGTGTTGAAAATGCGAATCTTGTTCGTCTTCCTGAGTGTAGAAGATTTCCAAACTAGTTCCAGATTGATGAAGGCGTATCTTGCCTTTCCGATCTTGACTTTGACATCTTCGTCCGTTCCGCCTGTAGTTGAAAGGATGCATCCTGGCCAGATAAGTGAAGGAGGCAACCTCTATTAAATCTCTCCCGTTGATGGTAGTTGGTGGTGGTTGTTGTTGCTGTTGATTGGTTATTTTCTTCACCTCCGTCTTCTCTGTGTTCACATGGAGTCCTGTTTTCGCTACCGACTTCTTCAGCCAGTCTGTTGGTTTTCGCTTGCAAGTCTTCGAGTTTGTGTGACAGTGGACAAATACCATCCACGTGCGAAATTCAGATCTTCTAGAGTCTTCTTATCGGTCGTCCAGCGTACTCCTGTCTTCTTGCTCTTCACAGTCTGACGCGTAATCCAGTCCAGTAGAATGTAGAATATCATTGGTGATAAGAGACAGCCTTGTCTTACTCCTGTATGGACTTCGAATGTCTCGCTGAGTTTTCCGTTGTGAATTACCTCACACGTGGCATTGTCATATATCCAAGTGTTGAATAAAAGTTGGCAAAATCTTGAGGTATGTCGTAGTGTTGAAGTAGTTTCCAAATTGCTTCTCGGTCTACACTGTCTGTCGAAGGCCTTTTCGAAGTCGATGAAGTTGAGGTGGAGTAGTGAGGTTTGACTGCCATTCTATGCTTTGTTCTGTAATGACGATGCGCAGAGTGGAAATTTGATCAGCACATGATTTGTCTTTCCTGAATCCAGTTTGTTTCGATGAGGCTGGTGGAGTTGTGCTTCCAACGCATCTTTTATTCTCTCCGAGATGATGCGACTTAGTATTCTACTTGGCGTGGACAAGAGCATCATTCCACACCAGTTGTTGCACAGGCCTAAGTTGCCCTTTGTTGGCAGTTTGACGAGGTAGGTCTTCTTCCAGTCAGTGGGCATCTTTTCTTCTTACCAAATGTTTTGCAGAAATGGAGTGAGAACATCTGCCGTAATCTCTGGGACTGTCTTCAGAGCTTCGGGAGGGATGTTGTCTGGTCCTGCTGTCTTCTCGGCCAGTGTTCAGTAGCTTGATCACATTCAGGATTTCTTCTCTTGTTGGAGGAGTGGTGTCCACTGGCATTTCCGTGTTTGCTGTTCATGGTATTTCTGGGCGCTTTGCCAGTGGTGGTTGATTCAAGAGGCCTTCAAAGTGATCAGCCCATTGTTTGATTTGCTTCTCCTCTTTGGTGATCAGGTTCTCTTGAGCATCTTTCATTGGTTTCATCATCTGGGTTGATCGAATTGTGATTTATGTTCAGCTTGAACTCTCTCTCAACTTGGTTTTGAAGGTTCGACAACTAGATTTTGAAAGACACAGGTCGGTGTGATCGTCTTTACGATCTCGCACCCATTAAGTCTAGTAACAACTTTCTTGAAACTGAGATTATGTGTGCTGGACTTTTGGTGCGTCCATCCAGTGAGAGGCACGTCGTACCATGAATATCCTTGTAAATGCACGTGTTGCTCAAGGTTGCCATATCGTTGCAGGCGCAGAAGTCTGCAAATACGTGATTCATTTTACTAAGCATCTCTTCAAATGAGATCAGTTCATTCGTTTTTATTTGAATCATGCTGCCATGACCCGATGGAAGATCGTTTCTCACTCACCATATGAGCCTCTAGGAAGCCCATTGCGATACCATGATAACTGGACAATTACTGTGTTGTCTGCTGTCATCTAGGTGGCTGGAATTGACTATGGACTTGGAGTGTCCACTTCAGTCCCATCTGCACTCCCAGATTCCGAACACTTTTATATCTAATCTTCCTACCTCCACAATTCTTTGATGACTGGCCTCAAGTACTGTACGGAAATCCAATTCCACCGACATTATCTGACATGTCTAAACCCAGCGGAGCACGGGCCTCTCTTTTTCTGTGCTTTGTAGTTTGACTGGTGATAGTGTTAATTTTATAAGGTTTTCTAGCAGCTAACCTAACAAACTTCTCCTTCCCTTGGCATTGAAGACGGCTAGTAGACGTGGGTAAAATCAAAGCATAGTTTATAAGAAGACACTCAAGTCTGGCGAATTTCAAGGGAAAATGAAGTCTGGAGATAGGCATCACATTTATCTATATATATCTCAGCAAGTGTTTCGGCAAGTACCTCGTACTGAACTATGCACGAGACTGAAGACTTTTGGATTCACAAGTGGTGGTGTGCTCAAGTGCACTACCCTCCTTCGATGTGTTGTGTATTCTTATGAACTAAACAGGCCGATTAAATTTTCTAAGATACCCCAGACAGTTGAACCAAGAATTATGAGAGACCTGAAGGACGATTGTTGTATGTGTACCCGATGATCGTAAGGAAGGCAAATTCCCGATGAAGAGTGAATTCGAGTTTTACAAGAAGTGGCATGGAATCATGCTCCTGCCGACTCCAAGCAAAACAATGAGTCATATCATCCTGGAGAGATTAGAAGTTGTTCTGGATGCAAAACTGCATCAGGAACAAGCTATATATAGGATGTGAAAATCATGTTCGGACCGAATTGCAACGTTACGCACCATCATCGAGCAGAGCGTAAAATGACATTGAAATCCCTGCCTCAACTTCATCGATTTTGGAAAAGCCTTCGATAGTGTGAATCGTGAAGTAAGTAATTTGGAAACTGCTCCAACACTACGGACTGTAGTGGTGCCAACCTTTATAAACCCCACCGAGAAGCTACATGATGACCACACATACCAAGTGATTCATGCATAGTATATAGTGGGAAGCTGAACGAAGCTGTTCGAGTAAAGGCAGGAGTGCAACAAGACTAACTGACTTGACTGGTATCAGCGATGAAGTGACTGGTTGTGGTGAACTGGATTATGCAACAGACCGTGCATGGGGAACGAGAAGACGGTCATGTGTTGGTGTTAGACCGACGAGAAGACACTGTTAGATATGGATGGACTTCGTGGATGGTTGATGTCTGATGTAACACACAATGGAAGATGCACAAGTGAAAAGCAAGGAGTTGGCAGCAGAGACAGGACTTCGAGTGAACATAGATCAAACGGAGGTGATGATACCCCTAACCAGCAACAACAGCAAGAAGAAGAAACACGAATGATGATGAATGGGATGAATGTTAAGAATTCGTCTCTTTTTCGCTCACTTACTTGAACGGCATCGTTTTAGCTGTATGCGGAACACTCAAGGATGTCAATGCGAGTCAGAATAGTATGGCGAGGACAAGGAGACGGGGGTTCATTACTTTTTGATCAGTGTGGAGATCTAGATCACTGAGTAGAGTAAGAGGAAGAAGTCGCGAAGTTTTGACACTAATGTTAAGTGTGTGGTTGTGTATGGATGACATGGTTCCTCCTGAAGGAAAGTACTTCCAACAGCCTACTGGATGCTTTTACCAAGAGCTGCTTTCGCTTCATCCTGACGATTTGATGGCCGTCCATGACGGATACCCTAGAAGTAACTGTGGCAAGCAATGAATCAGCCGAGAACCTATGACCAGATTGACAATCATTGCGAATGAAATGGAGATGGATGAAGATGCACAGGTGACCAGAAGTTTGCTTTGTGGTGTGTTCTCGTTTCATCTGCTTCCGTTTCCATGCAGAAGTGAAGAAAGTGTGGTAGCTGGTGGTCAAGTTGAGTTTCAAGTTGATGGCTTACATGGAATTGCAAGGGACTATGATCAGTGGAATTGCATGTGTAGTGGAAAAGTATGTAGATAGTAATGTTTATTTAATGTATCTGAGAGTTGGTAAGAGGGAGAGTGCATGTAACTCATTGAGCAATGTTCCGAACCATATCTCCAGAAGTCTCTATATATCTCCTTTATGCATCCCGGCTTCAACTGCGGACTCTCACATCGATGATAAAGAATAAATCGAGCTGCATCTCAGAGTAGACGTCATCAGATGAACAGCCAGATGCAATGTGTACGCTTGAGTTGAAAAATTGCACTTCAGTCTTATTTTATCCTTGTTATAATTACATCAGCAGGCAAGTCCATTAACGCTGGTTCATCTTCTCAAATAAGTGGCATGGTTAACACTCTCCACTACTTACTTCACTTTCTACCTTTCAAACAAGTGGCTATTGAAGCTGGCAGAGCAAGCTGGGATGTACATTTTTATGGAGTCAAATGCCTCTCCATCTCCTGTGTAGAGGCAGTATAACTGGTTGGCTGGTCTTCCGCCGTTTTGTTTCCCTAACCTCCTACAGTAACTTATCTGTTCGCTGAAAGTAACTTGTACATACCATAATTTTACAACCTTTCAATAAATAATCAGCAATATTCTTGATTTTTATAGTGTATTGATGATGATTCTAATTCACAGTCTACACAAGATGATACAAATAATCATGACTTCAAGCGTTCACGTCTTTCACCTGGTGATGCATTCACTAGCATTCCATCAAACTCTGTTGAGCATTCCTATATTCGGAATAAATCCCCTGGCATTAGAGATGGTGGAGATGATAACGGCTCGAAAAGTGATTGTAAGTTATCTTGATGTTATTGGTGTTCATGAAATATGTATATATATGATCTCATCATTTAAAAATTTCAACGATCTTGTTTCACTTGATTATTATTGTAACTAGTGTAACTAGACGCATCACACTAGTGACTAGTGTCAAATCAAAATATCCACTACAGTCCTACAGGAGGTCAATCGCGGGCCCGAATAGCTCAATGGTAACGTCTCTGACTGCAGCACTGGGTGACGCGGGTTCGAATCTCAGAAGGGACATGAGTTCCTTCAAGGTTGCAGATACGCCTTGCTGATGAGTGCCAACTAGCACGAAACCTAGGTCCAAGGCTTCCTGCCGATTGCCTTCAACCTTCTAATATCATCACAAACAATGTACACCGTGATGGCGAGCTACCTAGAATGGTGGCCACATTACAACCTGACTGGTAGAATTCAGTCTGCACCACAGAGAGGACTAGACGCATCACACTAGTTACTAGTGTCAAATCAAAGTAAGCATTCTTGTCAAATTAGATCATTGTGTTGATCTGTCCCCCTGCCATATGAAGACGTTCTCAAAGTTGAGCATGTTTTAAGTATTCTGAGCCGAAAACCTGGTACGTTTGTCATGCAATTCTCCCCTGTCAAGTGTAGTAAGGTGATGGTGAAAGAAAGATCTTCATTGACTACTAGTTTAAAGGTAGAAAGTGAAGTAGGCGGTAGTTGAGAGTGTTGATCACGTCACTTATTTAAGAACATGAATCAACCCTAATGGACTTGATTGTTGACGAAATTGTGGGACAGATGAAAAAGGCTGATGTATCATTTGTCAACTTGCGTTATCTCTGGCGTCGACGTGATATCCGGCTATTGATCAGACGACATTTGCTTGTGGGAAGTGGGAAAGTTGAAGAAGTTCTGGTTGTTAATCGCCATCGGTGTCTGCATTTCATCTCCTTTGTTTAATGTTATACTGTGATGAGTAGGTAATACAGGAGGTTAACCTGAGTATGTTAAGTTACGTGGGCGATGAAGCTGTAAGGCTGAGTCATTTGAAATGGCTGTGAGGCCTTGTGTATGCCAAGCTATCGCGCCTTACTCATTGAGCTGTTTTAGTTGGTATCAGATAAGGTTGAGAGGGAGTTCTAGGTGGTCAAATCAAATTCTTGCATCAATCCATGAAGTGTTTGACTTCTGGTGTGAATCGCCTACAGTTGTATTCGTGTACCTGCTTTTGGTATTGTATTTTTTTATAATTATTCCAATATGCTTATCTTACATGTAGAAAGCATTGGTATCATATACTTTTATTAGATATTTCATAAATTAGTCACGTGTTGAATTTTTTTGTTTTCATGAGAACTTTGCTTAAGACGGTTAGTTATTTGGAGATGTGTGACTTTTGATAGTGTTTATCTGGCCCCTTCAATCTTGAAAGAGACAGGCAGTATTATACGTCGCTTTATATTTCCTTACATGAGGGTTTTAAGTATCAATAATGAAATGCTTTATGTACATATTCTGTAGAGTGTTTCTATCAGTTATGACTTTGAAAGGTGTCCGGTAGTTCCGAACTTCAACAGATTATATACCTGGGTGTCACCAGATAGGCGAACCAAAAACCAAATTGACTTCATCTCAATCTCAAGAAAGTGGAGGCGCAGCCTACTGGACACACAAGTAAGAAGAGGAGCAGACGTTGGCTCAGACCACTATCTCGCACAAGGGACAGTCCAAATCAAATTAAAAGGTTTCAGAGAATCAGTAGCTGCAGACAGTCCACAAGCCAAGTTCAAAAACTGATGGCCCAGGATACAAAGGACATCTTCACTGCAAGCATAAAGGACAAAGCCAAGACTGGCGAAGAGGTCAGCGTCGAAAAGCATTGGAACAACTTGAAAACATTGTGGAGTCAAACCTGCATGGAAGTTCTAGGCAGAAAGAAGAGACAGAACAAACAGTGACTCACTACGGACACTTGGAGACTGATAAAAGAGAGAGGGATGGTGAAACAAAAGATTATCCAGTGCACCGACGAGCAACAAAAGCAGGATTTGAATGCAAACTACAAAACACTGAACAAAAGAGTAAAGAAGAGTGCCAGGGAAGACAAAAGAAAATATAATGAAACCATTGCAAGTGAAGCAGAACAAGCTGCAGGCAAAGGAGACCTCGCAACACTCTACCAAACAACTAGGTACCCATCAGGGAAAAGTTCGACACAAATTAAGTCAGTGAAGGATGACAATGGAAAGTCACTCACCAAAGAAGTGGAGCAAAGGAAACACTGGGCTGAACACTTCAAAAGACTCCTAAATCGACCACCACCAACAATGCGCCCAACAATACCAACAACGGAGACAGAGCTACCAGTGAACACCAACCCCCCCCCCGACGAAATCAGAAGTCCTGAAGGCAATCAAGATGCTAAAAGCTGGAAAAGCAGCAGGACCAGATGGAATCCCAGCAGAAGCATTGAAAATGGATCCAGAGACAACAGCGGACTTGATGACGCCACTACTGGAGAAGGTGTGGTAAGAAGGCAAAGTACCCGAGGATTGGAAGAAAGGATACTTATTCAAACTACCAAAGAAAGGAGACCTAAGTCAATGCAAGAACTAGCGCGGAATTATGCTCCTGTCCATCCCAAGCAAAATACTAAGTCGCATCATCCTGGAGAGAATCAAACATGTCCTGGATGAAAAACTTCAACCGGAACAGGCTGGCTGGATTCAGGAGAAACAAGTCATGCATTGATCAGATCGCCAGATTACGGATCATCATTGAACAAAGCTTGGAATGGCAGTCACCTCTCTATCTCAACTTCATCGACTTTGAAAAGGCCTTCGATAGCACAGCGTCGATCGAGAGGTGCTTTGGAAACTACTTCGCTACTACGGGTTGCCACTGACAATTATACATCTCATTCAACAGCTGTACGACAATGCTGCATGCCAAGTAATCCACAACGGGAAACTTACGGAATCCTTCGAAGTGAGGACAGGAGTAAGACAAGCTGGCTGCCTACTATCGCCAATGATTTTCCTGATTGCAGTAGATTGGATAATGCGACAAAAAGCGGGGAATGAGGAAACAGGCATAAAATGGACTCACACAAAAATCTTGGAGGATCTGGACTTCGCCGATGATATATGTCTGATTTCCCACAAACTGGAAGATATGCAAGCGAAAAGCAACAAGTTGGCAGAAGAAGCATCAAAACTAGAACTTCAGGTGAACATAGAGAAAACAGAGGTGATGAAGATTCCTGGACAAGAACAACAACAGACAACGATCAGCATAAATGGAAGGAACCTGAAAGAAACAACCTCCTTTATACCTACCTGGGAAGCATCGTTTCAACTACAGGCGGACGGAACTGACGAGAATATCAAAGCAAGGATCGGAAAAGCAAGACAAGCTTTCACTACTCTCAATTCTGTGTGGAGGTCAACAGCACTCAGCATCGAAAATAAGATCCGGATTTTCAACTCCAATGTAAAGAAGTCAGTGCTACTATACGGATGGATCAGAGACTTGGCCAGCGCGTCATAAAGAGCATCTCAAACAAACTACAGACCTTCATTAACAGTTGTCTTCGCTCAATACTCAAGATCAGATGGCCGATCAGAAAAGATCAGCAACAGAGATCTCTGGCAATGAGCGAACCAACACAGCAGGAACCGATTGTGAAACAAATAGGCAGGAAGAAATGGAGATGGATTAGCCATACTCTGAGGAAACAAACCATCAAGTGACATCACTAGACAAGCCATTGCTCGAGTGGAACCCGGTCGAAAGGGAAGCGGCGAGTTGGTCGTCAGTGTGAGGGTGACTTGGAGGAGGTCATGTGAAGAGGAGATGAAAAAGTGTGGGCAGACTAGGAGCCAGGTGAAGACTCTAGCAGAGAACCGAACGCAATGGAGACGCACGGCTGAAGCCCTATGTTCCTCTAGGAATTAAAGGAAACAATAATAATAATAATCTGTTTTGATGCGCCAACTCGGTAGCTAACAGGCCTCCTAAAAAGTTGTATTTTATTACACATATGTACCGAATGTGTGTTCAAACCATACCGAAGTCGTTTTTCACTGTACTGTGTTTATTCTTTTTAAATGAGTGACTTCAACGAAAATCACCGACATATCCGTGTAAGGTTCTATTTTTGATTTTCTACGCTTCATTTTCTCACCACTATTTCTGGGAATATATTTATGGATACATTTCAGCCCAATTTTTTTGTATTTTGTGTGCAGTATCCTCATCAAAATATGTGTGGATCAGCAATGTTCCTCAAGGTGTTCGAGCGGTAGATGTCAAAGAGATTTGTTCACCTTATGGGAAGGTGAGTTTTTTTTTACAGTCTTAGCATATATAAATAAATCCTGTAGACTTACATATTTATTGACGGTTAAGTTGTTTTTTTTTTCATGTATATATCGCGAGATAGTCTGGACACTTGCATTTATTGTCTTTTGATAGTTGGTGTTGTTTTCTCCTTCCTCGATTTGTGTCAGTTGATTTCACCAGTGCGCGTCGGTGATTCATTCACTGGTAGAATGAATGCCCACCAGTCACGCAGAAGGTTTAGCTCCTAGGCTGGTCGGTAATAAGCCTGGAAATTAGGGGAGATTGAGTGTGAGGCTATCAGCCTCCCAACCGCATTTCCGCTCACCAACTGTGACCTTCTTAGTAATTCATGTGACATACTGGTGTATTTTATTTGTTTACTCTGCGTATAAAAGTGACCTGTTTACCATAGATTGAGGGAATTACAAAAAGTCCTCCCTGTCTAATTTGCATATCTGGTAATTGCTTCGTATTCTATGCTTCAGTATCCATATGATGATAAAAGGCGAATATGATCACTTATGGTTTCTTGTTGACAACAAGCAGTTGAACTGCTTTTTGTTATCAAGTATACCATTTGTTATTGTATGATTTCGACTTTCCTGATGGCCAATTTTCGGTGTGATGACAAAATTTTTGTCGCTAAGTTACCAGGCATTCTAAATTGTCTCTTTTTTCTTCTTCTCTCTCTCAGGTACGAAGCATAAAAATTATCAGGAGTAAAAAAAGTCAATCACCATCCACTTTCGCTTATCTAATCATGGAAACTCCAGAAGCTGCAGTTCGGCTTGTACGAGGTTTACAGGGGGTAAAGTATCGTCAGCATAGATTGAAAGTCAAGCAGGTATGTTTCGATGTATTTCTTAACTGTAATATTTGAAGTATTAAGATACAGTTTTCTGTACTTTCGTATAGCTACTGTGGTAGAAGCTTTATGGAGAGCATATGCGGGTTGGGAGAAACTTGTTAGTCATTAGTTTAACTGGCTGACCCCAAAGACAGATATAATGAACCTTCAATTCGTTATCAATACATTGTGAATTGAAGTCCTGGAGGAAATTCCTCCTGAAGCACTGGAAACAGATCCAGAAACGGTGACGGATGTGCTCATGCCACTATTGCGCAAAGTTTGGAAGGAAAGAAAGACACACATACTGATTTGAAGAAAGGCGACTGCCCGGTGAAAAGTGGAGGGAAGGTTAGGCGAGTGAGGTTAGCTACCTCACTTGGTAAAAAAAAAAGAAATACCACAAATGCTAGTGAAAGTTCGAAACTCAGGCTTCATGGCTTATGTTCCAGTCGGAATGCAAGGCAATAATACAATGATTGTGCATAGTCAGTTCACGGTCAAATAAGTCAATATGTATGAGAAATAATAGAGTTGACAACTGATCAGTTAAGTGGGGGGATAGTCAGTCAGTTGATAGTAGTAAACTCTTTCGAACGAGAGCAAAAAGATTTGAAAATAGGTGATTTTATAGGACAACAAACTAGAATAATGAAATTGACGCCTAAGGGCATGGTAGTAAAATTCACAGAATAATACGTTTTGGACGTTAGACCTCTTGTGTTACCTTAATAATTGCACCACCACATGGTGGCAGTTCTCTACATACCCTAAAACCGAACGTTTTTGTGCATAGCCTCCTGGTAAGTTGACAGCGCATACAGAGCTGCTAATAATCTCATACTTGCTGCTATGGTTTCTGACACTTCGCTTCATATTTCCTATCTCATTTTCAGATCAATGCAATTCGTTTCCCCTAACCCCCAGGACTGACTGCGCGAGATTCATCATCTAAATTGTTATAAGTATTTTTTACCTAAATTTATTTCATGAGTGTTAATTTCTTTTTTACTACTGTTTGTACACAAATTTATTTCCTCAGTGCTGCATTTATTTGATTTTCAGGTAATGCTGTGTATTTACTAGATGATTTTGAAAAAAATAATGTTTTGTTTTCTTTGAATCTTTTCAACAACTTCAAATTTTGAGATTTATATCTATTCTATAATATCCTCCATGTGATATTCCCGTTGCCTGTCTGTAAATGTAGAGAGACAATCAAATTTCAGTTTGGTGCAAGGTTTTTTATTTTGTATATTTATATGTCAAACCAGCCAATGGAGGGCTGTTTCTTGCTTTATCTGTACATGCATTATGTTACTTTGTTGAGACATAATTTCTAGATGTCATTTGTGTAAATTGCTTAAATAGGTTTCTTCTTCTTCACATTTTCTTTTGGATGATATCTTTTACTTAGTTACTTTCAATACAGACAACAACCAATTCACTTGATTTTCTTGTTGTTATTATCATGAGTCACAATAATCGACGATACCAACTAAAAGAGACAATAATAATAATTTTTTAATGAAACAAATGTGGTTGACTCAGTGGGACCTACTATCCATTCTTTAGGCCTATATTCTTTATAAACAAACTGTTGGTAATCTAGGTGGTGTTGGTATTCACTTTTTATGTAGGATCGGCAGCTGTGATATCTCTGTACAAGTTACAAACGAACTTTGGATACATAATGGAATTGCAAAAGAGAGTAGTAACAGTTGATTAGCGCATCCATCATAAAGAGAATATCAGTTAAGAGATGGATTGCAAGAAGGTAATTATGATATCACTAGAATTACCTAAGTTACTGTTTTCGATTTAAGCGAGCTCACCGCTGCGACTTGATATTGTTTTAAAAAAAATTATTATTAAAACATAATATTCGTACATTACGAATACTGTCGGACTGTTTTCGACATAGAACGTTGCACCGATGTGCAGCAGTTCAAGTCGCCACACTTCACGTAGCACGAGAAAAAAGTGGAAGATATGCATAATAGAGACAGTAAGTTGAGGTATGAGACAAAGGAATAGTAATGACGAAGAGCAACATACTTTCATTGAAAATCATAAGTCACAAGAAGTGTATGCATCTAACTGCGCCAGCCATTGAGAACGATTTTCAGCCGTATCACCAATTGTCGCCAGCCATTAGTTTTTACCGTCCCGAGAACCCCAACCAGGAAGTCTACACCTTCCTACGTGGCTTTAAATAACTGTTGTGGATTTCATTGACTGGTGCCATGTTTTCGTTTGACCGCCGCTAGCTCTTTTCCAGCCTGACGCTATGTCAGCTAACATTGTCCGTCGAGGAAGTAGATGACTGGGCATACGTAACACATGTCCTAACCATCTCAGTCTCTGTGATTTCACAGTCTCGTCGATTGATTTCCCCCCTTTACCTAGCACTCGACGCCTAACTTCAATATTGCTCACCTTATTATACTATTTCACACGGGACATAGGACGCAGGCACCTATGATCAGAGACAGCCAGTCTTTTCATGTCTTCCACTCTCAATAGCCACGTCTCACATCCATAAAGGAGGACGGAGCGGACTGTTGAGCAGCACACATGCCCTTTAGTTGATATTCGGATATCACGTCTACGCCAGAGACGGCGTAAACTGGCATATGCAAAACTAGCCCTCTGTATCCGTACTGAGATTTCGTCAGAGATCAACCCGTTGGGGCTGATGGTACTTCCCAAATAAGTGAAGCGGCCAACGTGCTATACCACTTCACTCCCTATTTCTTAACTAGGAGTCAGTGTTGGATGTTCAGCAGGTTGAGCGTGGCTGTAGGCTAATTGAATTGCTCCTCAAAATGTTCTTTCCAGTCGTCTATCCTGGGAGCTAATTGTGGTGTCATTTGCTTTTTACCACATGTTTCCTCGATAAGCCTAAATAGTTGTCTGGTGTTACCAATCGCCGATTCTTACACTATTCCGGTAACTGCTTTTAGTCTAGTCGCTATCCTAACAACTTTCCTGGCATGGTAGGAACACTGGTTCCAGCCAGTGTAGCTTGTTGGGTCATCACGATGTGCAAGCCCGACCACCAAGTCAAGGTAGCAGTTATCGGTCGGGATTACGAGCACTAATATATGCGTCACAAAATCCCAGTCTGTGTGAGGGCTGGAATAGTGTTTGAACTATCCCACCGAAGCAGATGGTTGTCTTTAGGCGTCATCCCGGCGCCTTTGACTTGAAGTCTGTCCCACATTGCAGTGGAGCTGCGTTCGCTTTGGTTGTCGGTGACGGAAATATGTTCACACACCATTCGATTCTGGAGCCCATGTACACTACAGGTTTGCAACCAGTTTTCTCGGGTTACCTTAGCTAGGCCAGCATGTTACATTCACACTTCTGTGAGTAATATTCACATGGCGTGAAGGCGTTGAAAAGGAGTTACCTAGCAGAGAGTGTGAACTAATGGCCACATGAATGCATTGCCGGTTGTTTTCCTAGCCTTCAGAAATATACTCTGGGTAATAAACGTCTCTGTTAACGACGAACATTTTTCACGGTAACCAAATACAATTCGTTGTTATATCGATAGCCAAATATGCGACAGATGAATTTTCACGTGAAATAGTATAGTGGTTGTAAATTGATATTAGTTCCGTGTTGTATGGTGACATGATAAGCAGTACTCGGTTGATGACAAGTGTGATGGGCTGAATTCAATCCCTCAATGGATGGCGACAATCGAGCATAACTCATACAGTGTGAAGCATTATGTAGTTGAAGACTACGCAAAAGTACAGTTGTCAAGCATGTACCTAATGAAGCTAGTACTAAGGGCGTTAAGTTTAGCAAAGGAAAGTTAACTTATCTGAACGCCATATTTACTTCTGATTCTCTGGACAATGTAATCTTGGCCTCAGGTAAACCAGGGGAATAAAGTTGAAATAGAAAGTGAAGATAGGATACGCTTTCGACCCTACTGTGATTTTAGTGATGATTTTAATACACCATTTAAATCAAGGAATTTAGGGACATTCAGATGTTCGAAATTCAGTCACGAGATGTAAGGTTCATTAATGAGGTACTCATTTCCGTAGCGACCAACTTATGACATGGAGAGAGGTTGGTGACATAATGGATTAGGCCACGAAATCGTACTTTCGTAATTTGAAAGATCGTGTACAAAGGCGTAACGTGAAGAAAGGAATTCAGGTAATACTGATAAACGCCCGCTTCGTTTTATAGGTTAACGTGAAGACAACATGTAGTAATCACATCACTGTTTTTATTTCTAGGCGAATGGAAAAGATATCAGGGGATATAACAGTGGCAGTTATGTAAGCAAACTTTTCTAGATGTAAATGCTGAGAATGTGATGAGCACTATGTTTCATCAACAGTTCCAACTTAAGTAAATAATCCGTAACTGTTCTGCCACTGTTTGATCCAACAATGGCGTTTAATTACTGAGGAATGTTACCATATTAGCATAGTATACAGGAATTGGCTCAATGATTGCAGATTAACCATAATCCTTAACTACCAACATAAAAACTGGGAGCTGTAGGCTAAAAATAAACATCATAGTAGCATCCAGTGACAAAAGACTGACCAACATTCTCCAAAACAAGCAAAACGTTCAAAAAACCTTTAAAATTCAATGGAAAACGAATTCACGAAAACATATAACCGGCAGACGCAGGAACCCATTATGACCTTGAAACTGACTATAGCGTCTTTCGACACAACGCGGTAGGTTGTAATGATTTTAAAAATGCGCGATTATATATAATACGATTGGGACACACAATTGATAAATTAAAACAAAAACAAAATTGCAAACCAAAGCAATTTTGCAAAATGTTGTAATTTGGAATTTTCGGTAGCCTTATGTTCAAGCCCTATGTTCATCTTACTTTCCTAAGAGACTTCCACCAAGTTCCAATACTTCTGCCTACCACTAAATACTATTCGAGCCCAATAAACACCGCTTAACGTTAAATGTGGGCACAAGTAATAAAACCAAGATGCGGAGAAGTTATCTGAACGCACATCACAGAAATGTACGCCAAGTAAACTCGTTATGCCAAATAATTAAAGCACGAAATACATATCCATGCATCCCGCTACACAAACAATGCATTCATACTTACAAAGAAGTTGGACAACAGTTCCAACCAGACAAGAGCCAAATAAGCACTTAATTCATATCAAATGCAGTTGCCTAAATCGAACGAACCAAACCAATAGTGATTTGAATCTACCTAATTGCTCAAATACCCACCTGATAAAGCAAGTGGCACTATTTCAGACTTGAGATATGCCTCATTACAGCCTAGATTACTGATTGCATTTTGGATGACAGGTTACAAAATATGATAATTTATACATGAGTTTTAAGGTCGCCTGTTTATCTCAATCTGAGCCACTCACTCAACTCTTTTAGTCGACCAATGTTTATAACTGCGTGTCGAAAATTTTACCCAAGAGTTTTGGTGTTCTTTATGAAGACAGAGAACTATTGTAGGATTCCTCCAAATGTCAGGGAGGAAGACTCAACATTTCTTCAGCGTTAATCTTAAATATACAAGCTTATGGTTCACTTACATTTAAATAACATTGATATATCTTTTCGTGGTGAACATCCCACTCCGCCCATGATTTTCATCCTATATTTAAATTTCATTTGTCGGAATAAAGAAGGAAAAACTTTTTTCAGATGTACAGCTCATGATTTCAGCTATGGCCGCATTAGGAATTTTGCGTAACCAATGTAACACAAGCAATCCTTCATTTTACTCCACTGTTTTTATAAACGTTTTTACAAATATAAGAGGGAGAGAGAAGTGAGGTCTTAATGAAGACGTGAGTAAGTATTTCATTCAGCTGTTATCCCAAGACTAACCCGAACCTGCATACTACTAAACCTTGGACAAAACGTCAACAATAATAATAAAATACCAGGAGCGCACTTCGGAAAGGAGAGTGGCATTTTACATTGCGAAGTAACTCCTGCTTTTGTTGTGTAAATCACATCAGAAGCTTTTTGGTTTACTTTAACTGGTTTAGTTGGTTGAGCTGTTGATTTTGTGCAACTTTTTGACTTTTGTGTGGTTTTTATATCTCTGTGTTTAGGTATATGCATACAGATCAGTCTGTGTAATTTAAGCCACTGATGCCGACATGAGTCTTACAAATAGCAGCACGTTGGACGTCCTCATTCAAGATGCCGTAGGAATTACTGTGTCCAAAGCATTGATAAAACTCCAGATGAGGGGAAAAAGCCAGCATCTGGAACCGATGCCATCAATGACGATTCTGGACTGAGTCATAAGACTGAGACAGAACCACATACCAAGGCGAGAAACACAACTGCAATACACTGTCTCACAAAGTCTGCAGAAGCACGCAAAATGTCCTAAAAATTTTAGAGGACAAGCAGAACCAACAATGTAAGACTGCCGAGTGATACTACCACGACGAAGCGTTGCGTGTATGGTGAACGCATGGCTTCCAGTTGTGGCGACAAGAAAGGAGAAG